TCGTGTCGTGTCGTGCACTCTCTAAATTTCCTGGAGTGAAATCTCTCACTCGCGAAATGGCTGCAAATCCGCTGAGAGCAAATAACCGAGGCGCTGCAAGTCGCGCGAATGCTCGTGTCGTGCAAGCTTCGAGCGAGATTTTTGCCCTGTCGGATGGATATTTCAGTCGATTAGAAACGGATTTTCCGTCCCGCTGACGATGGATCACATCGTGAATTTGTTGTTGAATTTCGAGCGGGAGCGATTCGGTCGACGTCTCAGAGCGGAGACTCTTAGCTCGGTGCGAGCGAAGGATCGTTCGAAATCGACTCGCTGCGCTTTTCTAATAAGATTCAGAGAATAACTGTCATCGCGTGAGCGGTTATTGAAAGCTTCGACTTTTAGGTCCGACGTATGCGCTAACACTATCAAGGACGTAGAGAGTTGCAGGAATGTCCTTTTCGCAAATTCGCGCACAGGCGAGTGAATCGACCCGCCGCACAGTGGGACCAGATGACATTCTTTGGTTCAAAATTCTCTAGAGACCTGAATTTCCAACTGATCATCGGACACCAATGGATGAGGTTGATCCTGAATAAATTCCGAAGAGATCTGCCTTGCGAAAGTAAAAAGGAAATTTTTTTTTTCGAATTACTAGCTCCAAAAGAGGAAAAATTATCGTTAAACGCAAGAAACTTGTGAAATACTCATTATTCGACACTTATTTCTATCTAATAGCGTATTCAGCGGATGGAAACTATAAAACCAATCGACAGACACCTCGAGATTTATCGATCTTGAAGCAGAAACCCATTAACCCAAAACTCATATGCCCAAAATACAAAAACATCAAATATAGACCCGTTAAGCACAAAACCGGAGATTTTAATCCTTAATTCTTTCTTAATGTAGACTGAAATGATGAGTTTTGAAATTCTGAAATTTTCTAAAATTTTCTAAAAGGTGAAGGTGATGAGGCTCGAACTCATTGAGGTGGAACCCAAGACACTGTACCGTAAACTGGGGTTACTTTGCACACCCAGGGGTGGTAACTTTGCACGAGAGAACGTCAAACATTTTCTGCTCTCTAGCTGCGAAAGCAGTGAACTAAAACTACTAATTAATTCAGATACTGATAGATGGTGTTAGTGGCATTACTCAGTGCGAGTGGTGGCGTATTATGGCGTGAATTTCTGACTTCACGTTTTGTGTTGTTAACATCAACAGGAAAAGAAGAAATATTAGTGGTGGAACTTTTACCTGTGTAGCAGATCTAACTAGAATTAAAAGGTGAGTGAATAGCTTCAAGTGTTCACTCTATTATCGGTTTGAAGTATACCAAACGTTAAATCCATAGTTTGCCTAGAATTTTCAGGGTGACCAGCTTTGTAAATAAACATAATTTCTTGGTAGAAAAGGGGCTACTTTGCACAATGTGCAAAGTAACGCCAAATCTTCTTAGCAATCAAAAACCAAGAACTTATTCGAATTTAAAGACATTTTATATTAAAAGTAGAGTTATTTCATTCTTGTTTGCAGTCCTAATTAATTTTTTGAGTAACTGAAGTTAAAATCTGATCATAATAAATTCATGAAAAAAGTTGGCGAATGCTTTATCAGGCTATTTTGTGACGTCAAATATTTTGACAGAGAGTTGTGAAATAAATAAAACTTGAAGTGAAAAAAATGTACAACAAAACTAATAGCCTCCTTGCTTTTTTTCTTCAGATGCCACATCATTACATAAAGAAAGCTTGGAGCCAGAAAATACAAAGATTACACAGATGAGGATCTAGCCAGGTGTCTTGAAGATGTCAAATCTGGAAAGCTGATACAAGAACAAGCTGCTGCGGAATATGGTATTAGTAGAAGAACTATTTGTTACAAACTGAAAGGAAAACACGAATTGAAGCCTGGTAAGCCGACTGTTTTTTCTGAATTAGAGGAGGCTGCCTTTGTGAAATGTACAATTCAAATGAGTCAATTTGGATTCTCTATTTGCGAAGAAGACTTACGTCGCATCATGAAAGATTATCTTTTAAGAATCGGAAGAAATGTTAAGGAATTCAAAGACTCAGTCTATCCAGGTGCTGATCTAATCAAGGGTTTTTTACGAAGGCACCCAGAGCTGATACAAAAATTTGTCGCCAATATCGAAAAAGTTCGTGCAGAAATCAGTGAAGAATCCTTGAGAGAATATATTCAACATCTTTCTGTAACTCTCCAGAATGTACCCCCCGAAAATATTTATAATTATGATGAAACAAATCTAACGGACGACCCTGGCTCTAAAAAATGTCTGGTAAAGAGAGGCTGTAAGTATCCCACTAACATAAGAAACACTTCTAAGTCAAGTATTTCCATCATGATGTCAGGTAATGCAGTAGGTGAACTTCTTCCACCATTTGTTGTATATAAGGCCACTAACCTTTGGTCAACTTGGTGCGAAGGAGGTCCCAAAGGCGCAAGATACTTCACCACTGCAAGTGGATGGTTTGATGGAGTAGCGTTTGAAGAGTGGTTTTTTTTCTGTAGTTTTACCTTCTTTACAAAAGAAGTCAGGTGGTAAAGTTCTTTTGGGTGATAACTTATCCTCTCATACTTCTCCAAAAGTTATCGAAGCTTGCGAAAAAAATGAAATCAAGTTTGTTTGCTTACCACCTCATAGCACCCACATAACTCAACCTCTCGATGTTGCTTTCTTTAAACCCCTTAAAACAGCTTGGCGTAAAATAATGAACGAATACAAAAATTCTTCTGCTGGCCGTAACAAGACGTCCCTCGACAAACAACATTTTCCACAACTTTTAAAAAAGCTGGTAGCTGCTTTGGAGCCGAATCAAGCTGCCAATTTACAGTCAGGTTTCAGAAAGTGCAGCGTATATCCAATAAATGTCAACGAAGTCTTGGCACAATTTAGAGACAGAGAATCCTATGATACAGAGACACTAGAAGACAGCTTCAAGATTTTCTTACAGGACAAAGTTTACAGTGTTTTGAGCTCTGAAAGCGTCAAGAAACGAAGAAGAAAGCTGACTGTTCCTGCAGGTAAAAGTGTTAGCACTAAAGACATAGAAGACAAAAACAACGATAAAGGTTTACATGCTGCCTCTGGAAGCAAAGTTAATGCTGAGCAGAATAAGAGAAAAAAGAAGAGGACACTTATTACAAAGATCAAAAAGTCAAAAGCTGAGTCTGAAGAAGAGGATTCAGATGATTTTTCCTGCCATGATGACAGTTCCACTCTAGAAACATTCAGTGATTTGGAAAATGACTTAAGCAACCGAGAGGAAGACAGTAAGAAATCTAGCTCAAACAATTAGACACCAGTAAGAAGAGAAGAAAATGAATTCGTTGTCTTCACTTACGAAGGAGAACTTGTTCCTGGACAAATTACGAAGGTCAAGAAAAATGGCGCAATCGTAAAGTCAATGGTGAAAACTGGAAAAGCATGGAAGTGACCCGACGGATGTGAAGATATGTTATACTATGAATGGAATGATATTCTGTCTCATATCAAGGAACCCAAGAAAGTTAGCAAAACTAGAGAACTGTACAGAGTGCCTGAATTGGACTTCCAATGGGGCTAATGAACTATTTTCTTATTGTTCAGAAATATTTTTTTTCCATTTTTTATTTTAATTTTAAGTTGATTTTTAGTTGTTTTTTTCACTGTGCCTCTATTACATGAACTAACATTTAGTTCATTACCTACCACCTTAAGAACTTGTTTTGTGTTGAATGATATGGGTTTACCATAAGAATTAAAATTGCATTAAAAGTGTTAAATACGAAAAGCAGGTATGGTATATTAATGATTATCCTTTTTACTTTAATGATTCTAGGTTAAATTAATGGTGAACTATTTACTGACAAAATAATGAGGTTACTTTGCACTGATCCAGACTAACTATAGGAATTGTATAGGTTTTTCAATACGGTGCAAAGTAACCCCATGCCTGGGTAACTTTGCACAAATTTTCAAAAATCTGGAAAAATTACTTAGAAAATTTTTTAAAATATTTTTAAGATAAAAATCTGTTTCTTACATCCTTAAGCAATGATTACCATGTTTACATAAATTAAATGTTGATACAATGCTGATTTTTCACATAGGGAATTAAAAAAGGTCAAAATGTTGTGCAAAGTATCCCCGGTTTACGGTATTTTAAACGATAAACTTTTAAGACAAATCCTAAACCTATGAACCCTGAACCTGATAATTTTTTCAAAATTTCGGTTAGACAAATCTTTTTGGAATTTATTCAGGATCAACCTCATCCATTGGTGTCGATGATCGGTTGAAAATTCAGGTCTCTAGAGAATTTTGAACCAAAAAATGTCATCTGGCCCGACTGTGCGCCGTCGCAGAGCTTCCCCCAGCCGACGAATTCGCGGCGCAGCCACGCACGTGCGAACGCACGATTACATCACCGAATCAATTCTCTCGCGCGTAATCCGTCGCGGCGCGGGCTCGCCGCGGTTTTAACGGGGGAGATCGGCAGCCGCGCGCGTTCGATGCTACCATGCATAATTTATAAATTTCCGCGGCGGGCGAGTTGGCGTGCAGTCGTCTGCGGCATTTGAATACAATACGAACCGGCCGACAGGCCGCATCGCTAATTGCAAAGTCCGCTCGACGGCGCATGAATGAGCAGCGCCGCGGAATTGACACGCGCGCGAGCATCGTCGTGCGGATGTTTGTTGTCGCGCTGCTGCGGCGCCACGGCGGAATTTCGCGTTCCGCTCGTCGCGTCGCTCCCAATTGATCGGCCGACGCGTTCGTGCTCGCGTCATCAGCGTCATCGGGCTGCGCGCGATTAACACGAAAGCGAGAATAATGCCGCATGAATTATTAATGGAGCCGCCGTCGACACTTGTCGGCGCCTCGCGCTTACAAGCGGCCTCGCTCAATTATGTCGTTTGCTCCGCTGAGGTGAACTCGCATCGCGGTGAATCTATCCGCGTAAGAAATCTCCGCGTGCGAGAAGACACTCAACGACACATCCATACGATTGCAGGATGCGGCTGCAGCAGCTTCGGCTCCACCAGCTCCGCCTGCGACATCGTGTCGGGTCAATGTCAGTGCAAGCCGCAGGTCGTCGGCAGACAATGCAACGAGTGCAAGGTAAGTCGTAGAGCAGTCTCGTGTATTCTCGATCAAAAGAACTGATTTGGCTTGGGAGAGCCGTAAGAAAGGGGTGGGGAAAAAGAAATAAAAAAAAAAGAAGAGAGAGGAAGAAATTCCGCTTCTACACTGCAAACCCGAGTGTGTTATTTTGACACGTATAAGCTGAAGCTTTCTTCACGCGTTTCTTGTCGTCTGAAATCACGTCATTTGATGCATTACGATATCACTTGACGCGTTTAAACGCGTTAAACGACGTGATTTAAGACAACACAAGATACGCGTAAAGGAAGCTTCAGCTTATACGTGTCAAAATAATACACTCGGGTTTTCAGTGTACTGTCGCGCGGCTTGCATTCATCCTGACCCGAATATCCGGGCCACTCCTGGCGATTGAATTTAATGCATCTTATCCTCCAGATTGGTTACTGGGGATTAGCATCGGGAACAGGCTGCGCGACTTGCAATTGCGATACCATGGGATCCCGCAATGTGTCCTGCCACAGCAACACAGGACAATGCTACTGCAAGCCGGGCGTAGGCGGTTCGCGCTGCGATACTTGTCTGTCTGGACATTACGGATTCTCGGCGAACGGATGTCAGCGTGAGTGTGCCGCCAAGTCGTTCCGCCTTTATCCACCCCGACACGACACGCTTCTAATCTAATAATCGCGCGATCGTAATTGATTCAATCGAGAGCCGGATTATTCGATCAAGAGTCGAGATCGCTTATGGTCGCTTCGGCCGAAAGGCCGAAGAATCCCCAAGGAACTTTAGATTCGCGTTCGCGACATCACCCTCCCCTCAAATCTTAATCCTTCGCACTCGGGATGCCAGCGCAGCTGGCACGAGCACTTATTCCGGCAACTCGGAACGCCAGCTGTGCTGACATATAAAAGATTTGAATGTAAAGAGCAATAAAACAACAAATACTGCGACAACATTAAACGAAATAAAGATCGTTTTTGTAGTTTTTCTAGGAATTTGGTAATTATATTTATAATTATCGAGTTGGTGGAAGGGGAAATGTGGAAATGTTCCTCGAATGCGAAGGGTTAACCTAGGAAACATGTTTATAATTAAGTAGCGTAGACTTTGGGAGAATTAAGGAAGAGTCAAACGATCATCCCGCAGTGTGTGACCCATGTGTGCGGCCCGGCCACATGTGCGACCCCGACACCGGTCGCTGCGTGTGCCCCAGTCTGACCTACGGCGAGCACTGTGACCGGTGCCGACCCGGCGCCTGGGACCTGGTGCCACGTGTCGGCTGCAGGCCCTGTGCATGCACCCTCGGCGCCACGCGACCGCAGTGTGACCATCAGGGCCAATGTCCGTGCAGAATCGGCTACGACGGGCTGAGGTGCGAGAGGTGCGCCAAGGGCTACTACGGTTACCCCAGGTGCCGGCCGTGCAGCTGCAACGCGGCCGGCACTACGCAATGCCAGGACGGCATCTGCGGGTGCGACGACAAGGGACAGTGCCCGTGCAAGGTGAGCGACTGAAATGACTCGTCGAAACGACGGAGGCAAAGAGAAAAAAGTCTCAGAGAGGTAGAGAGGGAGGGGCGGGGGGGGGGGAAGGTGCAAACGTGACATCGCGAAATCCAACACCATCAGTCATCGAGACACGCTAATCGAGGGAATAATTATTCTCAAGGAACTGGCCGTCGGGCGACAGTGCGATCAATGCAAGGAGGGCACCTTCGGTCTCGCGGCGGACAACGCCAGAGGATGCACCGAATGCTTCTGCTTCCGGAGGAGCGCCCTGTGCCGTCAGGCTAGGCTCAGCTGGGGCCAACGCAGGCTGACGCATCCTCGTGCGCTCTACACCAACGGCACCGACCACGACATCACGGTAAAACGCGTCTGGATCGCACGGTCTTTGCCGGAGGTCGACGGATGTGTATCGTGCGATTTCTCATCGGCTCGTTCGCTTGTTGAATAGATCACGGACTTCGGCGCCACGACTGTATTGCCGACAGTGAACGGCGGGTTGAACGTGACGAACGGCCTCACCGTGATCCCCGGGTCCGACGGTGACGTCACGTTACCCTCGAATCTCTACTACAATTATCCTTTGTACTGGAGATTGCCGGACTCGTTCCTGGGCGACAAGGTAATTTTCCGCGACTAGATTTCCGTGTCCTCGCCATTGTTTTTTCTTTCTTTTTTTTTTTATCTAATGAGACTGACTTGAAAAGCAAGCGCTTCGGGCTGTGATTCATTAGTGGTTGAGCGAATCGCGATGATTTCTCGCAGGTTGTCTCGTACGGAGGATTCCTGCGCTTCAAAGTCTCGACGGAGGACGGGATACCTGTGCGATCGAACCTCCGGTATCCCCTGGTGCAGATGCAAGGAAACAACAAGATCGTGCTGGAGTATTATCTGCGCGTACCAGTGAGCGACGACCGCTATGAAATCAGGTATTTGTTTCTTTTTTCTCTCCTGGAGGTTCCAGCCGAGAATCCTTCCTCCGATTTATCGTCACGCCGAGGTACATGGTCAGGATACACGCAAGCGTCTGACTTGCTCCCAGATTCCACGAGTCGCTGTGGCAATTGCGAAACAGGCCGGATTACAAGGTCTCCAGGGAGGTGCTGATGGTGGCGTTGCAGAACCTGCAGTACATCCTCATCAAGGCCTCGGACAACTCTGATTTCCCAAGAACCACGTGAGTCTCCTACCGTACCTCGAATCATCCGAGTTAGCAGCTCTCGCGAGAAAATTGCTTCGCGGCGAGTCTCCTCCAACACCTTCCACTTAATTCAACAATTTGTTTTCGAGTAACGAATTTCTCGTATGAAAAATTGATTACTCGCTCAAAATTTTAAAACGAAGAGTAACACAGGCTTCGCTTCTTCGGAGCGTAGGGTGTATCATTGTGACCTTTATGGTATATTACACGTCGATGTTGAAATTGGTGTTAATATTCTGCAGAAAAGCTAGCTCGCCGCTCAACTTGGGCATCTCGTTCAAACTTCTGGAGGCGTCTCTGGACGCCGCTGTCCTCACGCCCACGCACTCGCCATCGCTGGCGATCGGAGTGGAGATCTGCGAGTGCCCACCGGAATACAACGGCACATCCTGCCAGGACCCGAGCATCGGCTACTACAGGTGGCACGCGAACACCACTGCCGTGTCCACCGGCGTAGTCGATTTCGTCGGGCAGGCCAGACGTTGCCAATGCAACGGCAGATCCGACGTGTGCGACAGAGAGACGGGATATTGCTTGGTAAGCATTACTCGAGCGTTTTCCCATGCGTGACGCACGATTCGCGGGGAGATCATAGCGCGTAGGAAGCGTGTTGAGGAGAGATGTTGTTGTCGAGTCGCTGCGCGCAACAGTTTCTCTCACCGCCGACTTTGATTTCGCAAACAGGACTGCCGGGAGTACACGATCGGCGCGCACTGCGACGTTTGCATGGACAGTTTCTACGGTCATCCGGAATTCGGGGGCTGCAGGCCGTGTCCGTGTCCGCAGGTCGACAAGAGATTCTCGAGCACCTGCGTGATCCGCATGGGCATCGAACCCATTTGTCACTGCAAACCAGGTACGTGACAGAGACAGAGAAATAAATGTTGTGGTTGAGAAGTGTTCAGATTTAAGTTAAATGGCATTTAAAAGTTTTGAGGATTGATCGAACTTTTTCCGAAGGAATGGAAAGCCAAAAGTTCTCAAAAAAAAAAAAATATTTCAATCCTTGAAGGGATATTCCGGACAAAGCTGCGTCATACTTCTCGTCCACCTCTGATCTTCTTCCTGTGTGCTGTAGGTTACACCGGCAGAAAATGCGAGCGCTGCTCTTACGGCTATTACGGCTTGCCCGATCTTCCGGACGGCAAGTGCGTCCCGTGCAATTGCAACTTGGCAGGAAGTGTGAGCGACGCCTGCGACGGCGAGACGGGCCAGTGTAAATGCAGGCCCGGCTCCACGGGTAGAGATTGCTCTGAGTGCACGGCGTATCGTCATGTTTACATAAACGACGTTTGCACTAGTAAGTTTATTCGCGCAACAGAGCGAACTGGCGCTCAAACTGACTCTCAAATGTAAACGATGTTTGAACGTCACTTTGCACGCATGTTACTTCGCGGGACGATCGTGCAAATGCGAGAATAAGTTATCGTATACGCGCGGGAACATCACACGCGCGCTCACGAAGGACGTTGCGTATCCTTAACCCCGTGAGCTGGCGAAAATGCAACACTGATCTCACGAAAAGTGAGTCAAGCCGGTGGAAGTATTTTATTACTTTATCGACTTTAGATAGACTTTGTGTCTATTTAAAATTAAGTCCATCATTTCGAATTTGAAACATTTTGTCTTCATATTCATAAACAGTGACCTTAAAACCTTAAATAGATATAACATTTGAATAACATTGCTTACACTGAGAGAAAAGTATATGATATTTGGAACTATAATGATATAGTAACTAAAATATCATATTTATAGTAAATATTACCATAATATCGGTAATAATTACGATATAGGCATAGTATAACCAACCATATAATATTTTTACTAAGAATTATAGTAAGTTAAATTAAAATTATTGTATGGATACAAATATAAAATGGTAGGTAAAGTAACTCTTTTATATAGTCAATATTACCAAAATATTTGCTAAATGATGACAGATGTAACTATATGAATATTAAATCTCACTATATTCGTGAATGAGAACTTACCATATATGTGGTAAAAGTAACTAAACAAATGTTTAAGCCAATCATTGACTATATATTTGTGCTTATTCTACTATATTTTGCAGGTTCCACGAACTATAAAAATATAGTTGACGCCAAAATGAACTATAAAATATAGTGAGATTATAGTTAATTCAACTATATTTTTATATCGGTGATAACTTTTGAAAATTCAGTTTGCTGGTCAAAAGGTTAATAGGCAACAATTACGTCGCTTTTATCAACCTGCCTTTCATCGATTTTCTTTTTTATCAGCCTGCGACGACAATTGCACGGGGATTCTGCTCAACACCGTCGAAATGATGTCCGCGAGACTGGCCGCTGACACGAACGACATAGCGGACGGCTACATCCTGCCCCCATGGGAGGCATTGACGCATATCGATTCCAACGCGACCGAGTATCTCGGGGAAGTGGAGCTGCGAGATCGTCTGCGACAGAGAATGAGGAATGTACCGTGGCACAAGTACAGGAAACTTGCAGAAGAAGTCGAGGCTATGCTAAGAAACGTAAGTATTTGTGAAATCGTTGGATCACAACATCAAGACTTTCCTCTAAGTATCTATTTTGCATTTGTTGTCCAATGCCGAAAATATATTACCTTACAGACGAATACCTATGCGAAGCATGCCGATACGCTGAAGACCAGAAGCAGCGATCTGAAGAATAACATCTTCAGCGCGAAGATCGAGGTCGAGAAGTTACGTAGGAAAATCGAAGGTAACGCGCGATATCTCCGTTGCTGTTAAGAGATCATGCCGTTAAGAGATGATCGTGACGCGACGTGAATGTTTCTAATATGGTTCGTCGTAATTTCTTCCAGATACAATTTTACAGCTCAACCAGTATAGCAACGACAACAGGAGGATAGGCATCAAGAAGGCCTTGAAAACCGGCAAGATGATCCTGAGCTACCTCAAGTCCGTCGACATCAGCAAAAGAACCATGGAAGTCGAGGACTTCCTCGAGTGAGTACCGTCAGCCATAACAGTTTGGAACCTATTCGGAAATGAACCTCGGAAAATAATATTCTGAACAGAGTATACGTTTTTGTGATATATTTTTCTTAATAAACAATATCTTTTTGATTAACCAGCGAGGTTGCCAAGTACGTGGCATGGCTGAACTTGCTTGAGGACGTGACCGAGCCATTGGCAGCCATCCAAGACGACACCGAAGATTACACGGTGAAGTTGAACGACATAACGACGGTGGTGGAGGATACAATGGAGACACTATTCACCTACGACGGCTTGTATAACGGTATCAACAAGACGTTCATCGACACCAAGGAGCAATGTGCTCGTATCGGCACGCTGCGCGGCGAGACGAATAAAACCATCGTCGAAGGGCAGAACCTCGTAGACGAAGCTCGCGGCTTCCTCGTCGACGCTGAGAACGATATCCAGGTATTTATACCATCAGTGCATTTTTTTCGCGGTTTTACATGTCTCAAAATGTCTATCTCCAACATGGGAGAATACCAGAAATTTTATTGAAAAAATCATTCTCGCAATCTATTCTACATATTTGTATGTAATCATGTAGCATGTAATATTTACACAATTGATATTGCATATTTTTTTATATAAACGTAAACTGCATTTAATTTATTTATCTAGACATAGAGAAAAGAATTATCGCTGTCATACATGTGCAATGTATTAATCTCTTGCAAGAGATTGGTGCGTTACACGTGTGTATAGCGAATGTATTAATCACGATCTTCAGGATCTTCCGGGGTTGCAAGATAAATTGGCGCATTGGAAGGAGAAGCTGACCATGCGGGAGGAGATCCTATATCGATTAAATTACGAGTACAATCAGCAGTACGTGGTACCGGCGATAAAGCATGCGAAGAATCTGTCGAGTTACGCCGACCAGTACGTCAGGTGAGCGATAATGACGATGCGATCGTGCTCATGAAAACACGACGAAGAGTAACTTCGTTTGTGTCAAGCAGCCTGTTCGCCGAGACGCGGGACATCGCGGCCAGTCCTCTGAAGGCCAGTCAAGCCTACAAGAACATCGTCGACAGTCTGCAAATGGCGAGGACCACTGCGCTGGCAGCCAAGGCAGCCGCCGAAGAAGCACACGAGAAGGTGAGTTTTTAATTTTTATCGATTTGAAAACTCAAGAAGATAATGGCTAACACTCGTTAATGAATGGTAGTAATCTTCAGGGAGCATTTAAGATTTCAGAGCAATGTTGAATGCAACGTGAATTTTTCCTTCAGGTATTCCCACCTTCAGGACAAAGGTCGCTGTTAGACGAAGCTAAGGAGGCGTTCTCCAAGTCTTCCCAACAATGGGAAACAGCGAAAGAGCACGATAAACTAGTCAAAAACGCGAACGCTGAGCTTGAAACGCAGAAACATGCCGTATACACGTTGAAAGACACATTGAACAACACCGGGATTAAGGACAACCAGATCAACGTGAAACTGCGAGAGCTTCAGGGCAGCAGCAAAAAATGTAAGTTGACTAAAAATACCTAATGAATAATTTGTTGAATAAAAGAAGACTCAGATAAAGACTCGGAAAACTGTCCCCTTCCTCCAGTTCACGAAGATCTGCAGAATATACTGGACGAGAACGACAAAGTAAAAGAATCGATGAAAAACACGCAACGATTGATCGACGATTATAATCAGGGTATCGCTGATAGACTGAAACCAAAGTTGAACGAACTGAAACGCGAGGGTGACTCGAAGATCAGCTTGGCCAGCGAAAAACGTAAATCTCTTTGTTAAAATTTAGTTGTATCTGACATATAAAAAACATATATAAGTATATAGAATTTAGGATATTTATTTATTTAACTGTGTACATGTGTCTTGTTAAATTATCCATATAAAAATGTCCATTTCAGTGACGGAGGCGCTGAGTAACATTAAGAAAGCTGACGCGAAGTTGATAAGCTTGTCAAACGCTGCGATGAAGCGAAAAGCCGTTTTCGATAAATGGAACGACACGTTGGCTACAAAACTGCAGAACCTCAAGGACAAGATCGCGGAGGCTCGTAATACCGTCGACGGAGTAAGGATAATTGTTACTTTCTCCTTAAAATTATTGTTGTTAAAATTTAAATGCAATTTTTCACACGTGTACGTTATTTCTTCTTGCAGATTCGCGTTTCTGTGAAATCGGTGGATGGCAAGCAATGCATTCGTTCCTACAGACCGGAAACATTGCAACCTTCGGCGACCACCTCGATCGTGATGACATTCGTGCTTCCGGCCGGGCGCAAAGAGGGTTCCCTGTTTTACCTGCCCAGTGGAATAAACGTAAGTTCTACAAAGTCAAGACAAAGAGTTACTTCCGGCATGTAAATTACATTTTCTGTTATTTCAATCTTGTTTCAGGACGACTTCGTCGCTCTGGAGATAGTCGACAGGAAGGTACGATTCCTGTGGAACGTCGGCGGCGGTACAGGCATCCTGACGCATCCGGAAGTCCTCGAAAACGGAGATCTACAGAACGACATGTCCTGGTACCGGGTCGAGGCTGAGAGGTAAGTGACGATACATTTTAGCGCGAGATTGATCTTGATGTAACCGATCGATGTATAAGTAAATCAGGATGAATGCGATATTAATCTACAAAAGTAATTGATATTTCGCAACAACCTTAGAACTCGACATATAGGCAAGTTAAGTGTACGCAAGCAGACATCCACGTCCGGGAGGTATTTGCCTGTCATTAATTCGACCAACTCTGAGTATGGTCGTTTCGACGTTCTGCCCACGGACCGAGTATGGATAGGAGGCATTCCCAAGTCGCAGAGGAAGCCGATGGAATTAATTGCACCCAATGGTCTTCCGGGTTGTGTGCATCAGGTGATCCTCGACGGGAAGCAGATCGGCCTCTGGAACTTCATCTCGACCGCGCCGGATATGGCTTGCACAGCCTGCGTAGAAGGGTAAAGTCGACTCCGTAGCAATTTCGCAAAATTTCTAAAGAAACGCCTCTCTTTCGTCGTTTCTTAGCTGTTATTCTTATATTACTGTTAACTGTTTTTAATTGACTGTCATTTTCGTGTTGCAGGGTGGTAGACGCCAGAGACGACATAGCTTATAGTTTCAACGGCAAAGGTTACGCCGTGAGAAACAGAGTCTCGTCCGTCCCGTACATCTGGTCTCTCTTCGGAGTCTCCTTCAGTTTTCGAACATACGACGAGAACGCATTGCTGTTCTTAGCGATTAATCCAGATAACGTAAGAATCTACTTAATTCTACTCAGTACCGTTAGGTTATCGAGAAAGATATCCGATATTGAAGCGATAAAAAAATTCGATTCGACTAATTAATCAAGTTTGCCCTTATCGGATTTGATGGAAGCAAATGATCCATCAACCATTATGTAATCTGTCTTGAAAAAAGATGCGAGAAACGAAACAAGCTTTTCATCGCAGATTCTTCGTTCCTACAACAATCAAGTCGTTAACAACACGTTCATTGTCGGTCACGCGATATCGCGTGTTGCGCCCTTTCACCAAACGGCCGTTTATGCGATTGTTTTTTTATTATGAGTGACAAACCAGGACCCTCGAAAAGACTCAGTTCAATGCCAGTTCAATCGTGCAAAAAAAACGACTAAAAATAAATAAAAGAAAAAATAACTTTGGCCACCACACGAAATTCAAATTTTCAGTCTGACAATGAACGTGTTAATTGTATAATCGCAGAACCAACACATTATGATCTACCTACGGGAGGGCAAAGTGATTCTCCACGTCGGCTATGGCGGGAACGTCAGTATGGAGATGTCTTCGACCTACAAATACAATACCGGCAATTGGACGAAGATGGACGCTTGGAGGCAGTATCTGGTGCAAAAGAACATCGAGAAGTGCAGTCTGTCCATCGACACCGACGACGACAAACGGATCGGTGCACCCACACCTCAGCCCAAGAAGGAGGACATTCCTAACTTGGCGCGGGCCAAATACTACATCGGCGGCTTGCCGCCGAGTTTCCGTGCCGACGATGTGGTATTACCCTCCCAAGTGTCGTTCCTCGGGTGTATGTCGAACATCGTGGTGCAAGATGGTTACGACCCGATGGCGGAACTGTACTACGGAGTGGAACCTAGTTGTCGTAACAAGGTGAATGACTTTCTTCTTTGTACTTCTCTCTTCAAGGGAAACATTATCGTTATAATTAATATTATATCTCAACTTGTAGCCATTGACGGTAGTCGGGTTTTACGGGGACGGGTACTTGGAGCATCCTGCGTCCACCTTGAAGAAGAAACACTCCGTTCTGAGCTTCTCCTTCAGGACAGTGCAAGAGGCGGCCATGCTGCTTCTTTCTACATCCGAAGGTAGCGAAGTCGGATCATCAAGCGGTACCGACGACATGAACCAAGAACAGAATGTAAGTCTCGTCATGCAATTGTGCACAAAGACAAATGCAGAACAACAAGCACAATGCATTAATTAAATACATTGAAGATAATGTAAAGACAATAATAAAGAGAAAAAAGCTTAATGTCGCACAGTGCGATTAATAGAAAAATATTCGACTGATTATCCTTCAGAATAAGAATTATTATTCCGTGTGCATCGTCAACGGGCAAGTGCAAGCGCGCTTGAACGCCGGCCGGGGCGAGCTGCTTCTCCAATCGAACGGCACCTTCAACGACGGCCGGTACCATTCGGCCACCGTCATTAAGACGAGAAAAGAGATAGAGCTGAGAATCGACGACGCGTATCAGAGCACAGGAAGATTGCCCACCAGCGCAGCTATCAAGGCTCCGAACGTCAATGGAGGGCTATTTTTCGGCGGGCTACCGGCTCTCATCAATAACACGAAGATGGTCACCACCCATACGCCGTTGTACGGCGCCATCAAGGATGTGATCATCAACGATCAGTAAGTACCGAAGAGAAGTGCATGACCGAGTTTGGCCGAGAAACCGAAATTCTAGATATTAAATTTAATAATTAAATCAGGATCGCGATCGTATAATTGTAAAATAACGATAACAGCGTTTTCTAGCCAGCAAGAACTGTATTTTTCTTTCAGAATCATCCGTTTCGATGACGCTGTTAACTTCGATCACGCTCTAATTGGCCGCTCCGGGCCAAGTATGGGGAAAGATCCACCGACCTACGTACCTTCAGCATCGCTCTCCCGGGGAATGTCAACGCAACCTGAGGGTTGCCAGAAGGTGCCGTACTATTCGTTGGAACCGGGCGCCTTGAAATTCGGCGACAAACCGCACAGTCACACGCAGCTCTATCTCAACTTCAAGAAGTTCTGGGAGAAGAAGTACATGATCGAGTTCGACTTCAGGACGTATTATCCCAACGGACTGCTCTTCATCACTCCGGTAGAGCCGCCACATTGCTACCTAATCTTGATATTTTTTATCGTTTGATCATTTTTCGATCAATTATAAAAATAAGATTTTCTCCGTGCTTAATATTACGAACCTATTGTAAACACGACACATGCGTCTTATAGGGTCTCAGGCTGAAGAATCATCTGATGGTGATCATCCAAGATGGGCAGCTTCTTCTATCGCTGAAGGGCAAACAACAGAGACAGATGCTATTCAAAACGCCGTTCAACGACGGTAACTGGCATCACGTCGTTCTCAGCCATGACGACAGAAAGCTCACTCTACTGGTAGACACCCAGACACCGCGTATCCTCAAAGTACCGAGGAGAGCCGGTTTAACGTCTATGATGTACATAGGCGGCCTTCCGGAGAGCGGAACACCTTTCCCAGATAATGTGATCAGCAAACTGGAGACCCTCAAGGGCTGTATCAGAGGTTTGCGAGTCAACGGGAATGTTTATGACATGGTGGGCTCCACCAGTAGAGCCTTCAACGTCGGCCAATGCTTCCCGAGCGTCGAGAGCGGCGCGTATTTCCAGGACGAGGCGTACGCCATTTACCGTATGTTACGATGATTGTGATCAGTATTGTTGTCTTTTTTTCACGTATCTCATCTTACGGGAGTATTTCGTTTCATTTTAGAGAAAAACTTTGAACTGGGTGCCGTGCTTGAGCTCCAACTGGAATTCAGGACATCAGAACTGTCTGGCGTGTTGCTGTCGATCAGCGCGCCTGATGGCTCACCCTCCTTGGCGCTAGAGCTCAACAACGGCAGGGTGATCATGTCGGGCGATTTGGGTGACAATAATCCGCTATACGTAGAGCAGCGGTTCGCCAGTCCGTACGCTATCTGCGACAATCGATGGCACCGGATTCAGGCGGTATATAATGATGAGGAGCTGGCGCTCAAGGTGGATGAGCTGGATCAGAAGTACGGCCTGCCCACGAAGGCCAATTATCACTTTGCGGACTCCACTGCTTACGGGCCGTTGTATATAGGCGGGATACCAGGTAAACGCGTAAACATGTTTCTCTTTTAATTAATCCTTTGCACTCATACTCTGCTCTGAGTTGTCGAAGAAATAGAGCAATCTTGTGCGTGATAAAATCTTGCCAAATCTAACAGCTGCATCTATTTCTTTCCTGTATTCTACACAAAGAACAATTTTGAAATTTATTATGAACTGGCTCATATAAATTATTACGAGTGCAAAGGAAATTGTAGTTGAATAAATCTTATAATAAAAAGTAGTATTTCACACGAATATGTAACTCGCACGGAGTGTTTCAGAATTATAGATAAAAACATAATTCGCCAATGTATAATTTACGAGACGATCAAGTTCCATTAAACACTATTAAAATCTACAGATTTTATCCTCCAGTTCGTTCCTCAAGTTCGTTCTTATTTCGCATCGTAGGTATTCATACTTTCCATTCACCTCGTTTCAAACGATAACTTTGCAACGGTTTTTATTCCAAGTCGCTACAACGTCTACGAACGACAATATAACTAACGATTTTCGCGCCTCAAGAGTCGTGCTTTCTCGTCTTGTCCAGTCGGCACTCAGTCGAAGCGAACCACCTGTTGAATGGCAACGCTTCTCGGAAGCGATAACGAATCGCGCATTCTGTCACGTACGGCCTTGCGTACACGCGTGTTTACGCTAGGCGGCTGGAATGCAACCCCTCCACCTTGGCTCAATCAGCTGGCGATCATGCGGTCGCTGAACCCCCCCCCCATTCATGCGAGCTCGTAGCGCACCACGCTAGAGTGCAGCACGATTGCACTCACGTGCGATGGTGCGAGCGAAAGGCAATTTTCTCTTGAATTTTTCTTGTTCTTTCTGCGTTGACCATAGCGAGATTAACGTTATCAATGTAGATCATAATGGAGGAATAATCGAAAGGGAAATAGCTTACAAAGTAAAAAGTCTCGAAAACGATAAACGCGATATATTGACATTCTTTTATTATTAAAACTGTCCTGTGTTGCTATCTTTAACCAATTATTTTTTGTCTTTGTCTATTTCGTTGAAACACTTTATGTAATAAATGAGAGGAATGTTAGAATTACAACGACTATTGTTTCTTCCAGCATCCGCTCAGAAAGGCTCGCTGGTAACGCGGGATCACTTCAACGGATGCATTAGGAACGTAATGATAGGAGGAGAAAGACGGGACTGGACAGACATGGATGAATTGCACAACATCCATTTGAGTTCTTGTCCGGTTCAATGACAATGCACGGTGAAGAAAGAGGATGGGTGAAGCTCAGCGTTCAGCGTTTAGTTCCAAAGACTGCTCGAAGAGTCGTGTCGGGAGTTCGCGATCGCACTAGGATTAACGTACCATATTCGCATGCGGACGGGTTCTTAACACATTGTAGATCGAAGATGTGAATTGATATCTTTAGCTTTTTGTAGTATTGACAAGCAGAAAACTCAGTTTTCCTCTCCAGGAAAAATAGCGAAAGCGGATTTATTAGTCAATTTTATCATAATATTCTCTTCTAAAGGACAATATATCAATCAATAATGTACTAGAAAAGTATTATGAACATATTCATTTTTTTTGTATATTACAATTTTGAATAAAACGTTACATCTATATGTACGATCTGCAATGTATTAAGATGTAAAACCTAAACAAAGCCAAAAGATGCTAAACCGTAAATCGTTTCGTTAAGCTAAATGTTGTATAACGCGTGACACAGAAAGAGAGAGAGAGAGAGAGACTATGCGCGTAAGTCTCTCAGCCCAATAGATATAAAACAATGACACGAAGTGTTTCTTTTTTAACGCGTGCGCGTACACACATATAACGTATGTTAGACTGTAACATTTTCACAAGTAAATAGCGAGATCACTGCCATATATAGTTTAATTGCTCGTAAGTCGCCATAAGTCAAGCCAGACAATTTGTACATCAGTATTTAAAGAAGCTATTATTTATTATCGTTAACGCGAATCCGACTTCGTAAACGTCCTATGGACGAAATAGCGAATAGAACAGCGACTACATTTTGTACTTTTCTAGCAACAGTAAGATCTCCGATAATAATGTAAGGATATTACCGAAGTTATTGATACTGTGGTATCGAGCTGGATCTTAATCGAGAGATTTCAAGAGACACCCAAGTGCCCTGTAAAAAGAAAAGTGTCCTTTTCTAAATCTTATAAATGCGAAGACGAGAACTTAAAAAAAAATGTCTTTAACGTAACATTTGTTTCGTAGTCTCTCTCGATAATCTCTCGATGAATTGTAAAATATTATATATATACAGAACATTAACTAACATTAAATAACACGCACTTAAGTATGCGAGCACATTCTGTCCTGTATAGAACGTACATATGTAAACGACGAAAGTACAACTATATCTTGTTTTTATTTACCCAACCCTTACCCTAATATAAATAATTATATATAATATATATATATATAATTATATATATATATATATAGGGTCTCATTTCCACTCAAAAGATCCACTCAAATATCTCAGAAACACTGCGTTAAATCAAAAAATGTTTGAGACAAAAGTTGTATGGTTTCAAGCGGTTCATAAAACAACTATATCAGTTTATTTACAGATGGCGCCATTTTCGAGATATTCACTGATAATTACTTTTCTTAAGTGGAAGCCCAAATTTTTTATTTATCATCTTTTTCTACTAGTTAATTTGAACAACTTTTATCTGGAACATTTTTTTATTTGCTTAATATTTTTTGAGATATTTAAGAGAAATTTGGTAACTTTTTCAATATTTAACCTACAATATCTTGCTAACTATTTGTCGAAAGAAGAAATAGTACTAAACTTTTTTACTCTGTTTGATCTTAAGAATATATTGTTACAATAACGCCCTGACTTTTGTTAATTTGATGATTTTGAAATTTCCAAAGATTTACAAGTTAATAAAAGTTAGGACACTAGCTAGAACGTATTATTGAATGACTATATTTTCAGGACACTTATATACGAAATAATATAAGCAATTACAAACGGTATTAACTTCAAATGTGGCAGTCTTTGTTCAAAAGCGCATGACCGATTCAGAGGATTTCACAGATTGGTTACCTACACGAAGGTCGCGCACAGTATTTACTTTGTCTCACTTACCACGCAATTTGGAGGATCGAACGTCAACATGTAGCGTTAAATACAAGTTCAAATACGTTCTAGAACGTGTACGAAAGTTGATATTCTTGTATAAAGACGATTTTACATTTTCGTCGATGCGAGTAAATGTAACGAATCGTCCGGCACGTAGACTCAATGGCCGCATTCAGCAGAACTCAACTCTTTGTAAACGGTTTAGTGATACATTGCAACCGATGTGAACTTAGCGCCCAACTTTAAAAAATTATTTAAATGTTTATATTACAGGTTTGCATCTCGTTTGTACCTGATTGTACCACATTTTATTTCGTTTGTACCTAAAGGGTTAAAAAGTCATGGAAGAGTAAAAAATCGCCAGCGCCCAACTTTAAGATATTTAAAAACGGCCAGAGCCATTCGAAAGAGCATCGTTTGTACCCGTTTGTACCTCCTTTCAAATCGTTTGTACCTCAAAGGGCTCGGAAGTACAGCTGTTTCAAAATACGCGCAGAAGTTACATACGCCATTTTTCAAGATATCTAAAAATGGCCAACGCTATTCGAAAGAGCATAGTTTGTACCCATTTGTACCTCCTTTCAAATCATCTGTACCTCAAAGGGCTCGGAAGTACAGGCTTTTCAAAATACGCACAGAAATTACATACGCCGTTTTTCAAGATATCTGAAAACGGCCAACGTCTTTCGAAAAAGCATCGCTTGTTCCCGTTCATACCTCTTTCCAAATCGTTTGTATCTCAATGGGATCGGAAGTACATGCTTTCCAATTAATGCGCTGAAGGTACATACGCCATTAATCAAGATATCTGAAAACGGCCAACGCCATTCGAAAGAGCATCGTTTGTACCCGCTTGTTCCTCCTTTCAAATCGTTTATACCTCAGAGGGGTCGAAAGATCAGGCTTTTCAAATACGCGCAGAAGTTACAGACGCCATTTTTCAAGATATCTGAAAACGGCCCACACTATTCGAAAAAGCATCGTTTATACCCGTTTGTACATCCTTTCAAATCGTTTGTACCTCAAAGGGCTCGGAAGTACAGCCTTTTCAAAATACGCGCAGAAGGTACATGCGCCATATTTCGAGATATCTGAAAACGGCCGACGCCATTCGAATGAGCATCGTTTGTACTCGCTTGTACCTCCTTTTAAATCGTTTGTACCTGAAAGGGCTCGGAAGTATAGGCTTTTCAAAATACGCGCTGAAGGTACATACGCCATTTTTCTAGATATCTGAAAACGGCCAAAGCCATTCGAAAGAGCATCGTTTGTACCCGTATGTACCTCCTTTCAAATCGTTTGTACCTCAAAGGGCTAGGAAGTATAGGCTTTTCAAAATATGCGCTGAAGGTACATACGCCATTTTTCAAGATATCTGAAAACGGCCAACGCTATTCGAAAATGCATCGTTTATACCCGTTTGTACATACTTTCAAATCGTTTGTACCTCAAAGGGCTCGGAAATACAGGCTTTTCAAAATACGCGCAAAAGGTACATGCGCCATATTTCGAGATATCTGAAAACGGCCGACGCCATTCGAAAGAGCATCGTTTGTACCCGCTTGTACCTCCTTTCAAATCGTTTTTCAAATAACGCTAAAACAGTACTTCCGCTATTTTTTAAGATATCTTAAAACGGACAACAGAGTTCGATAGAGAAGCGTTTCTACTCGTTTGTACCACTTTGCATTTCGTTTGTACCTCAACCGTTTCGGAAATACAGCAATTTTCAATTTCTGTCATATAACGCAAAAATGGTACTTCAGCTGTTTTTTAAGATATCTTAAAACGGACAACGTGGTTCGATAGAGAATCGTTTGTACCCGTTTGTACCTCAAAGGGCTCGAGGTACAGGCTTTTAAAGTATGCGCAGAAGGTGCATACGCCATTTTTTCAAGATACCTGAAAACGGCTAATGCCATTCGAAAGAGCATCGTTTGTGCCCGTTTGTACCTGCTTTCAAATCGTTTGTACCTCAAAGTGCTCGGAAGTACAGGCTTTTCAATATATGCGCTATTATTTAACTACGCTGGAGCTTGAAAGACAGCTGATCGGATAGCGTGAGCCCCTTCATGGATTCTGCGATGCGCTTTATTGCCGTCATTGGCATAGATTTCCTATGTCATCTCACACATGCCCTGTAACGTTGCAATATATTGCATCTGACATTACTGCAACATATTATTGCCGAGCGTGTGGTCCACACGGATAGACTGAACCGTGTATGTGCGTGGTGGAGGAAATCAGAAAAGGGTCATGGACATTGGCATCGTAGTTCATGTGCACGGTTGTACAGAGGGTTCCTCACACTGGACTCAGCTAGAAACCCTAGAATACAGAGTCTGGAGATCTGAGCTAATGCCCCTCAAAATGGCGTACATATATAGTGAGGAGAGCTATAAATCAGAAAGAGTGAGTATATAGAATTGACTGTTTTTAGTATTATTATAATAGAAGATATAAAAACTAAGGGTAAGTAATAAATGACAATATATTTGATTATCTTAATAAACAATATATGAAACTGAAATTAGAAATTCTACGTAAGACATAAGTTAAAACGCATAAGTTATTTTTTCCCTAACTTTAGAATATAATGTCAACTATAATTATAAACTTTGATTACAGAATAAACCATGCCTTACTATTGTGTAACTAAGTGCTCCAATTAAAAAAAGGAAAACACTTTTCCATGCATCGCTTACCAACAAAAAAGGAAAGAAAGCAACAGTGGGTTGTGAATATTGGTTGACTTGACTTAGATTCAACAAAAGCCCACTTCATATGCGAGGTTGTTTTTTTTTGGTCACGCAGGGGAAATCCATCATGGATACCCTCGGCCCTTGGGGGGGCCGAGGGTTATGTCGGATTCCTACCGACTAAAACCCCTGCGGGATGTCTACCTGTCGGGCCGAAGAGAGGGGAGTCAGGGGAACTACTCCCGTATTCCCTCTCCAACCCCCCGGCCCCAGGGTTCTCCGGGAGCCCCACGCCTCCGTGTACCGCGCCCTATTCCGCAAAGAGAATCCAGGGCACGGTCCCGGCGGGTTATCCCACCGGTTGGCCTTCTGGTGTCTACCTAGGAGAGAGGAGACATCCACTCTCCCTCCTTACCTCCCCTCCCTGCTAGGGAGGGAAGGATTTTGGGGGAGGGAAGGATTGGGCCCAGCCCCAATTGGGTGTTCCACTCTCCCCTGTCCCTACCCGTCCGACGCGCAGGGGGGAAACCAGGGAATCCACCTCAGGCGAGTCTCTCAGAGGACCCGCTCCGGTCGAGATCCCCGGACCCCCCCCCCCCCCGCGGACGGAGGCAGGCTCGAGGCGGCCTAGGAGGATCTGACCCTCCGTCATCCAGAGGTCCTTCGTTCTCTTCGGCCGGTGTCATCTCGTGCCTGCTTTCTAAACCTCCCTCCCCCGGGGAGCGCCGACACCACGTCGCCTCCTGCGACGGGCTACCGGTCGACGCTCCCGTTCGGCGGCCTCCTTTTGGGACAGAACGTCCTTGCAAAAGGAGACCGCCGCGTCCCATAGCCCTCGCTCCCGCACATGGCCTGGACCATGCGCGGGAGCGAGATCTCCTCCTCCCGACACCTCACCGCTCCGGCCAGGACACGGCGCTCCACTCCCCAAGCCGGACAAGCGGCCAGAGTGTGGTGCACCGTGTCCATTAGCACGGGGCAATGGTGGCACCGGGTGGTGGGCTCCTTACCGATCCGGTGCAGGTACTTGCCAAAACACCCATGGCCCGTCAGCACCTGCACCAGATGGAAGGTCATTCCACATCCCCTCCTGCCCGCCATCTTTGGCAGGCAGGGACGGACAGCCTCGGACGTTATGCGCCCGAACCCCCGTGGGTCCGACAGAACGTCGCCCCACATCTCCAGAGTCCGGGCACTGGCCTGGGACTTCAGGCCCCGCAGGTCCCTGGCCGGTAGTTCCCCCGCCTCGCGGAGTCCCTTCACCCTCCGATAGAGGATGGATCGCTCCTCAGCGATAAGCTCCACGGGGGGAGACCCGGCCAGGGTGGTCGCCGCTATGTACGACAGCGTCCGGAATCCTCTGACCGCCCTTATGTACAAGGGCTTCAGGGCGGCCCGCATACGGGCAATCTCATCTCTGGACGCCCGCACAGCCTGGTCGGAACTTCATATGCGAGGTAAGTTTATTTTTCTTTACTCACATTAACAAACTGCATTATAAATATTCCCAGCAAACACCCAGTAACAGTTATATAACTGTTAATTGTAATTTCCCACTCAACAATGTAACTGTTATATAACACACATGTTATGTAACAGTTACTTTGTTGAATGGGAAATTACAACTAGCAGTTATATAACTATTATTTTATGTTTGCAGGGTTATTTGTATAAATATTTATTAAATTTTATTTAATAATATTAATATACCATATGCACATTTTGCGACTGAAATGTGGGAGAAACTACGGATTGACAGAAAGAAGAAATTGAAAAATACAGCAATCCCTACAATATTTAACAATAAAAACATTCAAAATATTACAGCTTCTAACAACACAGCCAACAATTTGATTTCTTCGAATGTAAGTTTAATTCTATTTGTAATAAAAATATATGTGTACTTTTAAATCGATATTTTACTTTTATCATACTTTGAATATATGCGTGTTCCCGCTGCAATGTAATTCGCATCGCTATTGTGAGGGGCCTGAGAACATGAACCAATGAAAAGATGTCTATGGGTTGTCCAGACTCTGTATTCTAGGGTCTCTAGGCTCGGCTAAAAGCGGCCCATGACACCTCTCCTTCTTCTCTCTGAAGGCCTATCTACAATGACTGCAAGAATAAGGTTGTAAGCGTAAGCAGTAAAGCGTGGTCTACAATGTAGACCGTAAGCAGTAAGAAGAAAGCGTGAACACTAAGAAATAGACCAACCACAGTTGATTATTTTTGTCATAATCGACTGTGATTGGTTTATTTCTTACCGCTTACGCTTACTTCTTACTGCTTACTGCCATTGTAGACCACGCTTAAGAAATGGACCAACCATAATCGATTATTCTTATAATAATAACGTAAATCGGACATACGGACATAAATTGGACGTGAAACGTACATCCATTGGATGTCCGGTGCTGTCTGGGTACAGACATGGACATGGAAGAGGAAGGAGATGGAGAGGATGAAATTTATGATGCAAATACGGATACCAAACCAAATAAAGTAACGTTTACTATCATCTTGCGTTTTATTGATATTGTTCATGCTATTTGTTAACATAATTTCTTATTTTTCAGGCATAAATAATAAATCACATATAAATGTATAACGGAATCGTAACTATCGTAATGCAGCTTAATTCTCTTAATTAAGTTCGTATTGTTTTAAAAACACAAACATGTTTATTTATCTCTACCTTTTTCGGATTTCCCCCGGAGTGTAAGACTTACATCGGATGATTCTTGTCTGTTCTGTGTTCCTTCATTTCCATTTAATGCTGGAATATTCATTTCATCTGAGTCTGTATTATTATAATATATCCCATCGTGTATATTTCATTTCTCGCCTTTCGTTGTGAGTCACTGCGCAGGCGTGCTCCGCAGGCGGAGCAGTGACTCTCATCTTCTCGGGATGCGTTCCAAAAGTTGCAAAAAAACGCATTATTACATCCGCGCACATTGAGTCGCGTTTCGATATTCTCTGTCAGTACTGCGAATTTATGTTGCGTATATCCAGACAGCACAAAATATTTATAAAATATTTAAAAAATATTTGAATATCTTAAAAATATTTTTAATAAATATTTTGTAAATATTAAAATGTCCGAGCATGTCAAGTACGAAAAAGATTATAATAAAGATATGAAAAGAATTTAAAAATATTTATGGTAAAAAATAAGAAAATGTTACCTGGGTGCTTTCACTTTCGTATCTTCCGCACACTAACACAGTGGGTGCAACCGAGTGACGTTTTCGAACGCATCCTTGAAAATAGAGGTCGAGGTCAAAGTTAAGGTCATCATAAGGTAGCTCACTTAAATTTCTACACCTTTTAATCAGATCATTTTTCTCGAAACTTCAATACTAAAGAGTTATTAGGGTGTCCGTTACTTTTGAGACACGTGGTATATTTAAATATACACTACGAGAGGAATATGCTACGAAAGGAGCGGGAGGTGTTCCTTACAGATAGGAAGACAACTGGAGACTGACTAACGGTTTCGTGAGAAGTTTAGAGCAAAACTAATATCAAAAAAAGGATGGGGTAATAAAAACAGATATGATCATAAAGCAATATTTGAAAAGGGATAGGAATGTTCGAGATATAGATAAACAGACTAGGGCTGGAAAGATACGGAGATACGTTAGGAATGTAGCAGCGCGCGCTGAGACGTTATGGGAGGAGCATCAAGCCGTTCAAGGCTAGAACAGTGCTGCGAGATTGGGAGAATTTTCCACGCTACAGCGCTTGCCTGAAGTAACGTAGGAGCTACATATATGTCAAAATCCACTGACGGTTTAAAGCGCATGACAGAGGATCCATGGAGGATCCTTTCTATTCTCCCTACAATTCCTTCATATTTTCTTTCAGACGAGGGATCTTACGCCCGTATTAGACTATAGATTGAAAATTACAAATGGATCAATTTAAATAACCAAGATTTAGATTACCTGATTTATTCGATTGCAATTTTCAATCCATAGTATCATACGGGCGTTAACATACCTTTAAATTAACACGGTACTGAGACTCCCATAGCGTTTACTCAATGCGCATGCCCGGAAATTCTCCCGATCTCGCAGCAGTGGGCTAGAACGCTACTCAACTCAGGGCATCGACTGAGGAATTGTTGCCGGCGCGCGGCGTGAGAAAAGACAACATACCGATGCTCGTTGAATCGTGTCATTTGATTCATGTAGACATCATTTAACGTATCAAATGACGCGAGCAAGAAACGGCAAGAAACGGCAAGAAACGTGTAAAGAAAACTTCAATCACATACGTGTCAAAATAACATACTTGAATTTGCATCCTATCGCGATTATACCTAGGAATCAATTCTATGCCAAGTATTGTTGGTGACCATTGACAACCAATGATCCTCCTTTCGCAATTATACGATAGAGAACTTTGAGTTTTTTCTATTGTTAATACACCACTGATTACGCAACAATTTCTTCATGATACATAGTAAAAATGTTTGGCAAATTGTATCATTAGGATACAATTTGCAAATGAACTATGAACGATACAGAGAAATACCGACTGAAAATATTAACACTCAGTCTAATTCATCAAAGTTTATGGTTAACTTAAACAAAATTGGTATTTTTAGTCAAAATTTCTTAATCGTTCTCTCTCTTTCTCATTTCGCCAGAAAATTAGTTCATTCAACCAAACATTTTTCTTCGTGTAGACTTGAATAAAACGATAGCACGCAATGAGTTTCTACGCGAATTCTATCATATTCTAACAATTAAATATTCTCCTAACGATAGAGTACAATAGAGTACGATGAAAAAAGCTCATCGTACTCTATCTTTACGCGATATCATTTCTTTCGGATCCGATGCAGCGAAACGATAATTGCGATAGAAAACAATGAGAATCTCTGTAGATCTCATCGCTCTCTGTCGCTTTTTCTTTTTCGATGTTTTCCTTGATCAACTCTTGATCATTGAACTTTACAGTTCAATATGAACTATCTGTAGTACCTCATAAAATAATCTCGTAATTGTAATTGCGAATATTTAGCGGCCATATCGGCGCGAGCTTAGACTTAGACGCGATGCGGCGGTGCGACGAGGAACGGCGAGGTAAGGACGTGAGCATCGGCGCGTTATCCTTCCTCTCGCCGCGCGCCGACAACAGTTCCTTGATCGACTGGGCAGCGTTCTAGTTTTGAGCTCCTCCCATAACGTCTCGGCGCGCGCTCATTCCCCAGATTTCCATCATTAATAACTCGATAATTATTGCGAATCTCACAAAACGGTATGGGACTTTTATATTTGTCTTAACCCGCTCTATGTCTCCACGAGATGCAACATTAGTTATAAGACACCCTGTATATCCGAACTGCCGCTACATTCGTCGTAGAATTAGTTCAGCTTCCATTAAATTTAAGCTTTCTATTTCTGTTGTAAAATATTTCTTATCCGTACTATCTTAATCATACCTTTCAATTTTAATTGCTATTGTTGGCGGAACAGGTCATTTTATCCTTAAGCATTATTCATGCGCGGAAGAATAAAAGTCTATTACAAATGGGTTATTAAATTTTATTGATGACATTTGCTGCGAAGATGCTAACAGTAAATTATGACCCAAATCTTATGTGACGTTACTGAATAAATATACATATCGTCGAGTAAGTATATAGTCTCGTTTACGTGTATATAAAAACATAATATTTACAGAGACACACGGATAGAGTTCGAGAACTGATGCCTTAACGTTGAAATTTCCGCGACAATAAAAACCGGCAATCATTACGTAATGGTAATCGTTTATTATTTATCATTATCATTATTATTAATATTAATATTATTATTAGTAAGCGCGATTTATAATTGCGGCGCGCACGAATCACGTCATACCGCAATTTTCAATTATGTCTCTCGGTTCCTGTGTCACTTTTCCCTCTTTAACATCTCTGGTTCATCCCCTTCCCACATCGATCACTATATCGCGTCTGTTCCACGCCACATTTTTTCCCATCCCACACGGCTCACTAATAATATCTATTTTTCAAAAAATATAAATATCAAGCACGTAAGCGACCACCATCGAGATCTCTCTTACTCTCGTAATTTTTATAATCAATCCCATCTCTACAAGCCATAATTCTCGCTGGCTCTTAAAATTAGTGACTATATATATATTTTTTAAACCGCAATCATATCTACCTTTCTCCCTCTCCTTCTCTCTCTTTCTCTTTCTCTCTCTCTCTTTCGCTCTTTCCCTTCCTCTCCCTCTCTCTCTTTCTCTCATTCACTTCTCAAACGTTGTCACCGTGGACTTACCGCGACTTGCACTCCGCTTCGAGAATCGTACTTCCTTTTCTCTTTTAATCCCCTTTCTCTCTCTCTCTCTCTCTCTCTCTCTCTCTCTCCTTCCCTCCCTTATGGCGCGTATCTCACGTTCGATATTGTCAAAACTGTCGGACCGTTTCCCGTTTCTATTCGCGCATAGATTATCTATCTTGGATAGATTTACTACAATAGACGGGAATGCAGAGCAGTGAGCCCTTTTTTCTCTCTTTTTCTCTGTCCCTCTCTTTCAATCTCTCCCGCATACTCACCATATACACATACACGCACACACACGTATTCCTTTTCTCTGGATTACTACACAACAATCGACGGAGTTTAAATCTCTCAAGTTCCTCGGTTATACGTGACGTTAAATAGCAAAACATATCAACGGGACACGATAAAGCGAAGCCGACCGACATCCCGAGCAAGTCGAAAACACACATACACATCGCGCGCGCGTTTCCGTGATTACTGCCGGAGAAACATTGGAATTCGATATGTCGTATCGTAACAATTGTGTCGTTAATAATCGTTCCTACACACGCACTTTTTACGCTCGTCCGTGCCGAGAAGAAGACGTGTACAAAATGATTGGAGGAAACGATCTCACGAGCATGTCGCGATCGATAACGTCGACGACTCGTCGTCGCCATGGACAAGAGACTCCCGAAAGATCGGCGAAAAAACAATCATACGAAGGATACCGATCGTCGCGTATAAAGAATCTACTTCAAGTCCACCTACTCCCCAGCTTCTTTTGTCATCGTGTTTCCGCGGCGACGTCGTGACCGAGAAGAGCGAAGAAATCGCGCTTTGTGTCGCAGAATCCGCGAGATCCGCTCCAACAAGATAAGTAGCCGATGCCAATGCCGCGCGCGAGAAGATTTATGGCACAAGAAATTAAGTGGTCTTCAGTAAATTACATCCGCATCATATATGCAAACACTCACACGCACACACGCATACACGCATATAGATCGCCGCCCGCTAGATCGCTTGGCCCGGTGGATTTCGCGGAGAGAAATCGGGACTACACGCCTCGTTCGATGAGAACCGCGCTTCGAGACACGACCAACAGCGACGAGGAGAATCGGGCAGAATGTCGACTTGTCGAGCGTCCTCGCACGACTGATGTCCCCTTTCCTCCGCCGATGTTCTCACATTCCTCCGAACGACATATAAACTCTCGTCCGTGCACGTCGTACACCGGACTCTGCTTCGCGACTTCTGAGGAAAGCGGAATATGGTTCGAAATGAAGAAAAAAGATCAATGACAATTCGTCGCAATTGAAGCAGGGCTTTATTCGAAGAAACGTAGCTCCAGGAAGCATTCTGTCGATAAAACTCGTAATCTCAACGCCGTCCATCTTCCACCTTCCTCTTACAAGACAAACCGAGAGAGCGCGATTTCAAAGGCGCGCCCGAGGAGAGCGTTGGATATGCGCTCTTGGTGTTTCTCGTTATTTCTCCTCATCTTCCCGCTTCTTTTTCTCTTTCTTTTTCCGCGAGGCAACGATACTTATATATGCGAACATTCGCTTTCTGTACACGATGATAACTACTTAAACCGCCGACGAAAAACACATCGTTCTCGGTAAGACAGCCTGCGTATCGTTTTCTCCTCTTGACGCAGACTGACGCCGTACCTTGCGAGGAAATTGATAGACTGCAAGGTTGGTCTTGTATCCCACTTCGCTACAGTTGCAACAAACGTACTTATTTACAAAATGAATTCTCGCTTGTGCCCGTCGCCACCCCGTCGCGCGAAGGTTCATCTCTCGCAAAGAGAAGACGCGGTGGCGCGCTGTGACGTGAGAAATCATTAATTCAACTCCGTTCGTTCGTTCGAGCCGCGGCGAGTATGAGTGTATCTTACCACGATGCGTATCTCAATCAATAAAAAGTAACAAGTGAGTATCAAAAACAACGTTCCCCCGGTAAAAAAGAAGATATCAAAAAAAAGAAAGCTTTTCCTTCTTCGACGATACGCGCATGGGGCGCGGAAAATAGCACGCGCAACGCGCTGGATAAATAAAAAAAAGAAAAAGAAAATAACAGATTTGGAGGCTGGCGATTTGCGCGTGCGGGACACGTCTAAAAAAATTAATGGTCCCTCACCATTCACATGTTACGTTATGCTTTTTAAAAAGTTTCAATCTTCCTAGAATAATCGTTAATAATTTAGATACCTAGCCTACTAAGGATGGAAAAAGATCTCTGTGCGGATCGCATTATACATATATGTACGCACACGCACACATTCATACTCAGAATACGCACACACATAAACACATGCTCTCTCTTTCTTTCTCGCTCACAAAATGAAGTTAGGAAAAATCAACATACGCGCGTATCTCAGTCGCAACGGCCACGCTCGCAACACAATTACAAGGCGGTTACATGTCAAGAGTTAGTCCGCAAAAATGGGGGAAGGGCGTATTGGGAATATTGACGACAAACCATTCCTACGGTTACAGATACCGGCAATCTTTATGACACAGTGATTGATGCTGACGATCGATGAGAAAAAAAGAAAATGAAAATAAAATAGGGAAAAACGTTAGAAAAAGAAACAAAATATCCTCTTTCCTTGGTAACAACGCCTGCCACCTGCCCGTCTCCTTCTCTCCCTCTCCCATCCCCCGCTTTCATCGTAACCCTTGGAGATCGGCGCGCGATCATTTCAGAAAGAATGGGGATCGCGCGCCGATGCGCCAGCATATGCACCTCTTCTTTACATACAGGGGTCAGCACCGATCAATTGTCTTTATAAAATTGACTAAGAACGCAACGTTCGCATTAATTTAATATGGGCCTGTATTAAAATAGTAACTATATGAACAACAGAGGGCACGGTAGCGGTAATGTTAAGTGTGTGAACCACTTGTTGTAAAACTATATGACGAGCGGTATGTCCTTCTTGTTCGGTAGATTCACCTTCTTCCCTTGCCAGAGGCTGTTGTGTATCGTAAAGGCATCTATGGTCACAGTCAGATGCTTCGTGTGCACTTGCGAAAAGCATTTTCCGCTGGAGTTGTATCTGAAACAATAAACGGGCGGCCATTGGTAACTAGAGCGCGATATATGTGTGAGTGTATGTAATATATTTGTATAATTATATATATAAATATATAAATAAAAATATATTTTTTCTCTATATACAACTCTATGTAACTATTACATAGTATTTCATACAATTATATAAAAGCAGAACATTACACAAAACACGGTTGATTGGTTCCACAATTGTCCATTAGAGTTCCATAAATAAATCGTGGTAATGAATAAAATAAAGATATACAATATCTGTAATTGAAATGAAACTCTCTCACATACACAGGGAGGTCAATCCTCTGTCGGAGAGGCGCTTCCGTGGAATAAGGTACTTACTTGAAAAACTTGTCGAACATATTATCGATGACTTGTTTGGGTCCAGTACCGTACAGCTTGGCTACTTCCTCCCTTTCAGGGCAGTACGAATAGAGAGCGCGGAATTGGCAGCCGGCATCCCGAAACAAGATGAGAAAGTGCTTGCTCTCGGACCTCCCGATCTCCTCCAGGACTCTCGACTTGGCCTCCTTGTTCACCGTGCCGGGGAAGACACAGTATTCCACGGCGTTCAGCATAATGTTGCGATTCGACTTCGCTATCGGCAGTTTATACAGTCGCGGGCCTACGAAATAAATGTCCAGTTAATTTCAGCTCTCTCCTCACTTCGAGCCTGCCCTTGATTTTGAAATCAAGGCCGAACAGATCTTCTGGAATCTTCTCTCGTGAAACGACACTTTCGCTACTTAACACGTTGGCTGCCAATGGAGGCCACCAATAATTAATGCTATAATATAATTGCATGTCATAGCCGATAAAGCGCTAATGAAAACAAGCTAACAAACATAAACGTATAAAAGTTAATTGTATTTAGTTTCCATATCTTTGGTGGCTCAACTTTGACGAGCATCGAAATAACTAATAAGAAATAGCGCGGTGGTAATCTCACTTACCGTTGTAATCCATCATCGAGCTGGGCGTGCTGCTAATGTCGCTGCTACCATCGTCGTATACTCTCTTCTTGGACGTCATCAAGGCAGGTGGTAACGAGCCAGGACCCGAGGGTGACGTCAAGTGCCTCATGCTGCCTATACCCGGACTGGCAGCTCGTCTCGGCGGTGTCGATCTGCCCAGGCCGCTGTCCGAATCTATATGCCGACACACCATAGCGTCTTGATCACTACTCACCCCTGCGAACGCACGCTTCGTATATAGAGGTAAAAATCGCAACGAACGTACGCGCGCAAGTTCCGCGCGAAAACAATCATCAGACACTCTCGCCCGATTTTCCACATCTGTTTTCTTTCCTTTTTTACCTCTCTTCCTTTTGCCACCCAAGCTCAAAACAAATCGGAGAATACTGAGTACCTTCCAGGTTTGTCGTTAATAGTTAGCCACCACGTTCGGAAATACGAGATGGATTAGTCACGTGTTACAGGTATTACGAGGGAGACCGCGAACGCCCGTCTTTGTAATTCGCGTCTCTTCGCGCGAAAGGAACAATTACATTGTCCTTGCTATTGCTATTGAATAGTCATTAAACAATAATCAAGTATGTTTCATCGACAATGAGATCGAGAAAGTTTGCATCTATCAGCTTGCCGAACTGCTGACTGCGCTAGGATGATTCTCTAACGTGTACAATGATAGTCTAACTAGTAACCGACGAAATTTTTAATTAACGCTAATACGACAACGCGCTAAGTCCTCGCTAATCGTCCGACATGCGAGCTCTGCGGCTATATGAACGAGCCGCTACGACGACGACAATGAAACGCTCGATCGCCGGAGAGACAAGGGACATATAGCAAGTTCATCCACATCGAGACACAGAGATAGGACGGAGTCTCGAGTGCATGGACATTTTGCTGTTGCGTATTTTTTTCGCAATGAATTTGCTATACTCGCCGTCCCACGATACCTGCAAAGAGAAACGGTGAGCGGAGGACAGAGCGGGATCGTACGGGTGTCCAAGGTGAGAGAAAGAGACAGAGGGACGGGAGAAGTAAAGGTAAAGGCACAACACGGGACACCTAGATTACGACTTATAAACGGGAGGGTTACACTTGAGAAACAGGAGGATACCACAGAACCACTGAGAGCAGAACGAATCTGAAAGAAACAGCGATCGAAACGATAACATCTCGGTACCCACAACCAGTGCCGTACAACAACAAGCTCAAAACAAGCCTCAACCGCGAGCCTTCTCTACGAGCAGCAGCACAAAATGAGAGTATGGTCCTAGGGAGAAATGACAATAACAATACAAAGTTCCGCCACGACGACAGCCGAGGGGGCTGGGCAAGAGCGGAGAAGCCATCGTTCGCAAATCATAAATACGCACGTGACCGACACATCGCTCGCGCCCGGGGAGATGTAAAAGCTCAAGAGAGAGGGACAGAGAAGGGAAGAGGGAGAGAGAAAACAAGATTATCCTCTGTCCGGAGGATGAGAGTGAGTGAGTGAGTGTGAGAGAGAGAGAGAGAGAGAGAGAGAGAGAGAGAGAGAGAGTGTGTGAGAGAGAGAGCGAGAGAGAGAGAGAGAGAGAGAGAGAGAAGCCACGTCGGTGGAACTTTGCTAATGTAGACAAAGAAAAGAAAAATGCGTGTGAGCGACGTGCGTATGAGAGAAGCTTTCTCTCATAAATAAATAAATATATATATATATATATATATACATATACACATATATAAGTACCGCTGCCACCTGTGCGCGTTCATCAGCCTGCCACCATGCCACTACGTATGTGTATGCGTGTAAGTGCGCGTATACGTGTGCTATACTGCCTACGAAAAATCGGGGGACGGTGATAATATACATTTAAATGTACGATATTTATATATCATATATGTACACGGGACACATATATATAAATATATATTGAAACTGTTGCACGAGATATAGAATGGGGGAGAGGATCGAACGTAATTTCCAAGTCACTGTGGTGCTTCTTACCGCACAAATTCATCAGGGAATTAGACTTTCTCCCCTTAAAGTTTTGGTAAGTCTGGTATTTAGGCCTGCCTCTAACCTGTTGCTGAGACTCCTGCGCATCTGCAATAACGCAACGTATGCCTCGTTACACTTAAAACGCCATGTACGAAAGGTGATTAAGTAAATTTAGGGGAGAGATGCTTTTCAATTGTACGCATCATCGAGAAGGGACCGAGGAACAGGACGATGGTGAAAGCGGAGGGAAGGCGTAGGAAAGAGTAGGAGGAGGCCGGAACACCGAGAGAATGTCTAACTACGAGCCATGTCCGGGCGGAGGGGATACATCGAGAACTGAAGTGGCCGGTGCAGTTTTTGGTGCAGAACAACGTTGCGTTCCAAACCGAAAGACGTCCACTACGAGGCGCTACTTAAGTTCAAAAATTAAGAAAAAAAAAATGCGCAAAAAAAGAGGGAGAAAAAACCGAAAGGAGAACACAGTCATACCCGTAAAGTGTCATGACCTCGCTCAGTCGCCCGTAGAGGGACAATTCAAAGGCTAATCAAATGTTTCAAACAACATCATAATACTCGGATAGAGATTAGCTTCTGCCCATACCAGTGTGATACATCCTGCAACGAGTCTACTTTCGTCAAGCCAAACGTTTAAGATAAGAAACGAACAGTCGTTCCAATACATAGCGCAAATGCGGCATGCCGCGTCTCTAGTTTTACGCAACATCGAACACCCACCTCTCGAGGTCTTGTAGGAGCCGCGTCGACCGAGCTGGTTCACGCTGCGACACGGCGAGGAGCCCCTACCGTCGTCGGGAGAATCTACGGAAGATACTAAAATACGGTGCCTCAATTACAATCGGTTACAATTCACTTCCGAGGACATTCTTATATTCTACGTATAAATATATATATTTATATAGGGAGAAAAAGAGATCGAGATATAAAATGCGGCCGCTAACATCGGTACATCGAGAAACAAGATACACGGCATGCCAAATTGAGGAACGTAAAGAAGTGCGTTGAAGTTCTCGCATACGAAATAAATCATAAGGGAGAGAAAAAAATGTTGAAAAATATAGACATCAAATATAGACATCGATTAAACACACGATCCTCGAAATAAGATGTTTCCGTGAGAAAAAATTTTTTCTTTAAAGTGAAAGAATCACGAGATTCAGCAACTCACTTGACTCGAATGGATATCAATTTTTCTTAAGTATAATTGATATTCCACGATTGCAATATTTGTTTCCGTATCTATATATTATAAATATTATAAATTACGTACTATATTTGCAAGATATAGTTATTTCTTCGTTCATCTCGCATAAAGAACTCGATCGGATTCGAATTCAACGCGCGGATACTTCCGAGTGTAAAATTTTAATAAAAGAGAAAGGAAAAAAAACGAAAAAAAAAATAAGAAAAACTATAACAGGTGTGTATTGTATCGTACATAAATGCAGTGAGAGAGTGTGTGTGGTGCGTACCCCTGAGACTGCCGCCCCGATAAAGAGGGCCAGAACGTCGGTCATCGAGATGGGCAGCAGTGAGACTATCCTGCGAACCTCGGTAGTAGTCTCGCCTCATCGTCGGAGAGGTCAGCGACGCTACAGTAAGTGTGTTAGTGCAAAACAATCGGCTCGGTATTTTCTGTGCTATTCTAGTTTGGCGTCTTTCGTCCTGGCGCGATTGCGAGCGCGATTGCGAGCCCGATCGCAATCTCGGTCGATCGGGATCGTGCGCAACTAAAAGATGATCTTTCGCACGATACGGTTCTCGACGCGACGTAGACTAAACTAGCATAGACGAGAAAATCTGGAGCTCGTGAACATGTGGTTGGGTGAGGACTCATCAACGAAATAAATTAAAACCAATTAAAAACGAAAAAAAATAATAAAAATAATTAATACACAGCGAGAGTGACGTCACTAAGAGATTACGAGAAAGAGAGAAAGAGACAGAAAGATAGTGAGGGGAAACGGCTCTGATCGTAAAAATCTTCGCCATGCAAAGTATAAATGCAAAATCACAAGTACAACATCGAGGAGACTGTTGCTATTAGATCATTACAACGAGGGAAATACGCTTGTGGCACAACAATAGACATCCATGTTTCTGGGGATTAACTCGAAGAGATTAACAATCTCAATGAACGAAAGCAACACTTTTGTCTATTCTGCTGCTACTTTTGGTAAAACTGCATCGACCTTGCGAACACTCGAGTCTGTACGAGACTCCTATCTATTTCTAGTCCAATCCCCAAGAAGCATCGGTCGTCGTAATAGGTTATTCGATTGCTGCGAGTGTGTGAGATTTACTACAGCAGACTAACCTGTACTTAAGTTGGAAGAAGAACCCTTCTTTCCACGACTAGGTGTGAGAGCCCCAGAATCCAACACTGCGCCAGCGTCGCCGTGAATCGTTTTCGGCCGTGGACGAGCGGTTGCAGTCTTGTTACGTAATTTCGCTGGATTTATTGCATTTAGGAGCTCCTTATCAATTACCTTACCCTGTAATCAGAATTGTGTGTTAATTCGAAAATAAAAACGTTTCAAATATACGCACGACAAACTTGTATCTCTGTTCCGACCACATCCACTGGAAAATATTTATTTATTTTCGTGCGTATAGAAATCCCTCTTTTCAAAATATACTTACTTCTCTCTCCGCTTCCTCTATCGCCTTCTTCACTTTATGATGCTCCAAGATAGCGGCTCTTCTCTGTCGTTCCTCCTCTTTCTTTCGTGCTCTCTCCTCCGCTTTAAGTTTCTCCTGTTCCCTGTGCGCTTGGGCCTCGGCTTCCTTTCGTTCCTTCATTTCCTCCTGCCTCTGTCTTCTCTGCAGCGACAGCAGCATTATCCTCTCCTTTTTCTTTTCCATCTCGTCCATAGAATTCTACAAAAAAAAAAGTTCAGTTAAAACAGCTTGCTTGAAGAAGCTACACTATAAATGTGCAAAGAGTCAACATGATCATAACACATACCGGATCAGGATTCGTAAGCTGGTTGCCAATCACCAGACCAACCCCGGAGCTATGTCGGCCTTCCGCACTGCTGTCACGTTGTTTCTCTCTCTGTCGTTCCCTTTCCATCTCCCGCTTCAGCTCCCTGTCCCTCATCTCTTGCCTCTGATGTTCCCTCTCCTCAGCTTGCCGCAATCGTTCCCGTTCTAACTCTCGCTGAGCTTCCATCTGTTTCTGCCTCTCGATTGCGCTAGCGGGAGGCGATTCGGGCCGCATCGTAAAGTCCTCGTGCTCGATATACGACGATACACTCCGTTCCTGTGAGAATTACAACTCGCTATTATTAGAAACAATGCGTGACACATTTCTGTTACGTTAAATTAACTCTTTGTGGTAATACTTTGTCATAATACTTTAGAGCGCGAATATTTACTGTTTGCTATATAACGTAAACAGTTGACAATTTCATGTATATTTCAATATGTATACTTCAATACCTTACACGAAAAAAAGATTGTGTTGTAAATACGCAATTGGTAACGAATGTGTCGAAACATCTCCGACGTATGTCAGCAACGAGAGTTATGTCGAAAATATCCCGACACGCGTCCGTGACTTGATAGATTCTGGGAAAGTTTTCTTTTTATGATAAAGACAACAGAAAAGTGCTTTTATGTTGCTCACTTTCTTGGGAGACGATCTCTTTACTCTGAGAGTCGGCTTCGGCTTCTTGGGGGTGTCATTGTCGAAGGATATGTAGAACCCTTTCTCGCCCGCGTCCGTGGGATCGAGAGGTGTAACGTCTGGAGTAGCCGAGCGCGACGAAGCTGCCTCTCTCAGCGACGGATGAGGTTGGAAGGAATTCTGCGATATTGTGGGTCTGGTCGGCGATGGTATTCTGTACGTGCGACTGCCCGACGTGATGTTCAAGCCCCGAATGCCTTGCGCGATGTCGTCATCGTTGCCTTTAAATTAAAGAAAAAATTTGTCAAGAGAGAAATTTTCTGTTGGATCGACGCGCAGAGTGAGAAGAGAACAGCTCGTTATGTAAAATTTAATTACTTCAAGCGTTAATTTCCTAGACATTGTGAGAGAAGAAATCAAGTCGCAAGAATATCTCGCAACTTGATGCGTATTTACCGATAAAGGATATATTCTGAGGCTTCATGTCGTCGGCGGGCGGAGCCGGTACCGGAGTGTGCAAGGCTGTAACCTGTCTCTTCTCCGTCGGACTCTCACATGAAATCGGGATGTGATGTACGGTTGATCTCTTGGGTTCGGGACTTTCGCTAATTAACTGACTTATTCGATGAACCTGAAACGACGAAATATATTCGTTATAAGATGCAGACATCAGACATCTCTCTCTCTCTCTCTCTCTCTCTCTCTCTCTCTCTCTCTCTCTCTCTCTCTCTCTCTGTTAACTGATATCCTAATTGGCGACAAATCCATGTGTGGCACGGAAATCACTGGAAACATCGTCACTGAGAACATTGCGACACTACTCTACCTATTAGAATCTCACGATTCTTTATTCGCGCGCGTACTCATTAAAAGCAGAACCGCACTTCAATCGCGAACGAGCACCGATGCTAAAACACAAAGTTTCAAGACGAACCTCATTGAAGCAAACGCGCGACGTTACGACAAACGACGACGATGATGAGGAGGACGACGAGCTAAAGAAATACATTTTATTTAAATTCACAAATCACACGGGAACGGTTCCAGGTAAAAATCGAGCCGCGGAGCGTGAATGCCTGTCCTGGCCGGTGTGGGCAGCATCTGCCATGTTGGGTGTCAAGAACGTGCGTCTATAAACGTGCATTACATCACCAACTGGTTCCCGCGTACAATACACACAAGCACGTCAGCCGCACGTACGGGCCGATCCTTCGTACTGAAGTGACCAAATTGAATTGATGACCAGCGCACACACATCGCGAGCACTCACAGCCGTACACGCGCTCCTCCTTATTCACACACCAACAGCGCGCTACACCGCCACCGCTTGCTGGGTGCAGCAGCGAGCCCGATGTGCCGGCCCGTCGTCGTTCTTCTATCTTTCGCAATGAAGCGATGCTGTCACGTGCGTGCGTATTGTATAGGGAGAAGCTGTTTATATAAATATAAATAGAAGCATGACGAGACACGAGACGCGAAGCAACGACGGACGGCGGTGCGAAATCAATTCTTGTATCGCGCACCGCCGAACTCTCGTAAACTGCAACGTACGGCACCTCCTACGTGCACCTGATACGCAAAGAAGGAGAGGAAAGTTTGTAGATGTGAGAAAACCGTGGTCTTGTTTAAGGAGGGAGACACTTACGGCGTTACGATGCTGTGGACTAGCGGATGAGGCTTGCGTTTGGTTAAAAAGAGACGAAGACGCTGGATACGTGGGGCCGGGGTGGCTCATTTGATTATTACACAGACTATGATCGCCACCATTGAGGTACCTCGGTTCCTGAGTGTCATGCAGTACGAACCCCTTTTGCGTTGGATGCGGCGCCGCCCAGGTTCTCGTGGGATCCGCGTACATACGCATGTCCTGCTGGTAAGCTGGGGAGAAGGATAAGATTTACTTATTGTGCGCGCGCTTCCCGTCTCAGAATTTTCAATTTCTATCAGACGAGAGTGTATCAACGAGGGTATCAATAAGTATTAATTTCCATTCGGATGCGAGCTGTCCTGTCAACAAGAAATTAATCATCCACACCGCTGATTATTTCCCCTAAACAACAACTGAGCGATGACTCACCAGCAGGTTGGGGGCTAAATCGGGAGTCCATGGATTGCTGATAGCCGACCACAGCCATCTCATTGGCCAAGCTCTGGGCGGGTGGCGGCTGACCCCACATTCTCCTCTGTATTTGCGGTTGATCGTGCAAATAGAACTGCGACTGCTGGGGATCCTGCAGTCTGGGCGTCAACGGATTCATCGGCGGCATTCCGTAACTCTGCCGTAAGAATAAAAATCAGAAAAATAATCGACAATATGCGACCGACTGGACGGGAAACTGAGGATACAGACAGAGAGAGAGAGAGAGAGAGAGAGAGAGAGAGAGAGAGAGAGAGAGATATATATATATATATATATATCCCTCTTGGGACATTTATGAGACAAAGTACGCACTTGCATATGTTGCTGGCTGAGACTCTGCAGTTGCTGAAGCTGTTGCTGCATTTGCTTCTGATGCTGCGACATGAGGTGCTGCTGCTGGATCTGATTCTGCTGGTTCGTCAGGCGCTGTATGTCCGCTTGAATCTCGCTCAGGCTATTGTTCATCCTGCAACAAGCGACATTTCATGAACGCACGCGTGACACACGGGACGTCGTCGACGCGAACGTGAGATTTACGAGAACGCCGATATGTCACGCGCGATATATGCGATGTGCGTGCATATTTATCTCTCGTCATTTTTACAAGCACGGAAACAAATACTAACTGCGTTATGGATTGACGATACTGTTCGGGATCCATGTTCTCGATGTCCGGCGTGCGTCTGGTTTCGATGAATGGCGCATTGCCGTCGTGCTCCAGCCACTTGTGCTCGACATCCCGCACATCCTCGCTAATTTCCTATATTCGTTATCAAAGAAAACGGAATGCCTCAGAAAGAGATTACGGTGCTATAAATGTGCGTAAGATACACTCGCGTGTGTGCAATGCCGCGGGTATAACGGAGACGAGCACGGCTTGCTGTTCTTTGCGTATCTCTGTCATCTTTTTTTCTTTTTCTCTTAACATAAACGGAGCTTGTTCGCCGATTCGCACTCGCAATTTTATATGCGCCTGCAATAAACCGGACGTTCTCCGTTATGATCAACAACGCCACACGAATACATTTACCGGAGGTAAGTACGAGTAGAACATCGCGCGAGAGAGGTCGATTCAGTCCGTCGTATATCTGAAATAATTGACAAGCCGCGGAGACAACAATGGATTAACGTTTGATCCAGTTATGGCCGGAAACTTGGTGACACGAATCTATAGATAGGACATTTATCCGTCTGTTTGATCAATATCTTATGTAACCGGGAACAATGTCAAGGCCCGCTTCTCGAATTCCTCCGAGTTCTCACCGAGGTGTAAGTACGAGCCGCGGCGCACGCTAATTACACGTGTCGAATTCAAATGATCCGCCCGCTAAAGAAATACGACAGTCTGCTAATTGAGAGAGCGAAATTAAATCTTAGTCAATCAGTCAAACTACTAATTGCACGTTCGTTAAGGCGATATATAGCAGATATACGTGTATATTTATATATATGTATATGTACATGTTAAGAAGTGTAAAGTCTTTCCTGTTAGTGGATGAAAAAGTTATCGTGTGAAAGTCTGAGTCTTCAGGTGAGTTCAAGTAAGACCAATTGCCCGATGCCAATAAACACACGCTACTCTTTTCCAGGGAGTGTTTAGTATCGTACCATGCATGCCGGGGGGCATCGTATTAGGGAATGCTCAAGTGAAATGTGCACCGACGTCATTATATAGAATAAATTATTCGCATCGATAAGGTTTCGTTTTCCTCTACAGTGTAAAAGAAGCGTCAAGAAGCAGAATAATCATCCGTTATCGAGGGTAATATATTTCTACATAAAAAGTGATAAATATATGTATATATATAAAGCGGCCGTATACACTTCGTAGCATCGCTTTTGCGCGTCTCGGAACGTCTAAACATCAAGAGGTAAAAATAATTGCTTCGACACGCTTCGTCTTCCTCTCGCTACGTGAGCGCAGCATAGACGGAAAATAAGGAAGAAAAAAAAAAAGTAAAAGAAAAGGATTTAATCGACGTTCGAAAGCCATTCATAAGCGCGTGTAATAATTCTCTAGAGAATATTAAAGGTAATTAGTCTCATTAAAGAGCGAATTTCTCTCTGTCTACGGAAATCGCTTGTGCTGCGAGCGTGATATCGTACCTTGAGCGAGAAGGGTCTCTGTGGTTTTTCTTGAGGGGGTTGTTGGGGTACAGAGGACGCCTCGGAAACGCTCGTCGGGGTCTCCCCGGAAGATCCGGAGGTTACAGGAGTGGGGGGACCGATCTCGGCCGGACTGTCCCCCCCGGACGTTGACGAAGAGGGAGATTTAACCTTACCCTGCAACCAGCCCAACCAGCGTGCCTTGTTAAGTACTCAGAGTCCGCCACCAAATCACCAAACACCACAGTCGAATGTCTTCCCACGGCCAAAGTTCAAGTTACACTCAAGCGCAAAGCCCATCCAGAGAGAGAGTGGCTCGCAAGAGCCATGTTTAATTGAGCAACGACTTAAACTAACAAATACATAATGTTCACTCGCTATTTTGCTATTGATTCTTTAAACGGAATTGCGAAAGTGTATAGGAATCAATTGCAATGTGCATGGAGGGCGAAATTAAAGTAAAATACATACGTATCTCTCGTTTTGAGATGTTACATCTTATGCAATTATCGTAACGCAAAAGCTAACTAAAAACTAACGAAAGAGTGATGATGATATGTTGATTACGCGATCGATATGTCACTAAATACATTGCACACGAAATCTTTCCTTTTGATCTTGAAATCGTCTTTTCACATTGTATATATATATATATATATATATATATATATATATGACAACTTTTTGTTTTCCTAGAGTCGGAAAAGAAAAACTAAAATGTATTATTCGTTTATGAAACAGCATGCAGTGCTCTGATCAGGATGAACCTATCTACTCCTCCTCAACACTGATTGCATTCACGACTCTATCAATATTTTGGAACTAAAACGGATATCAAAATAAAAAAATTGAGGATGAAATCGCATTTTTTTCTTTCTTGTAACGTAAGAAAACAAAAATATGTGAAGAGAAATATGTGTATTCTTTTGCATGTGTTAGTGTCCAATGACATCTCAGTTGCTCCAGTTCCAAGATATTGATATTATTTTTAATTAAGGAGACAACCGCTAAATTAAATTTGCCAACCGCTAAGTTCAAACTACTTATTCGACAAACTGACAATTTCTGCTCGAGCAGAAAATGTAATTCAAATAGAAATGTTCAACCCTGCAATACAGAAATTTAGTGCATCAGCATGCGCTTACCACCAAGTATAGCTGAAATGTCAGAAAGAGAATTGTGTTAGGACAACATGGCTGGCAACCAAAATCATTTACGGCGCAAACAAAGAGGAGATTATATCCTGCGTTATATACAACCAAAGCGATCGAATGGAAATCTACCTCGAATATTCCAGGATAACAATGATACCAGAGAAATGAGAGTAACAAATGAAATTCGATCATCTGAGAGAGATGAGCAATCGTACATTTCACATCTACTTTGCGGATGAGAGACTACAGTTTCAAACCAAACGTTTTTACATCTTGTACAAGCGATATCAAACGATCCCTAGCGTATAATCTGCCACACAACAAACGATGTACAACATGAAAAATATAAACAAAAGGCGGAAGAAAAAGAAACTCTTTATACTTTTTCTCAGAGACAGAGTAGTAGAGTTACATATCGCTCTCTATACTAAACACCCGTGCCTAGATTCGGAAAGTAGCTGTTACGTAACATGGCAGATCTTAATGTTGTGTTTCGATGACATACACTCAATAACCCGCGATTGCGCCGAATTGAACGCGATTCCGCGATCTCGTGTTATATGTCGTTTTATCAAAGAAACAAACCATTCAAGTTCTGACCATGACGATGATAGTGTATACAATGAATGAGTGGTAGAATTGGATGATCGAATCGATAACGACAATGATGCTCAAAAGTGAGTGAGTGTGTATTACACAGTCCGTCGAAATTACGATCAGAATGACCCCATGTTTTACCTTCGTGACCGCTTGCAGGAACGCCGCTTTGCCCACCTTCTGCCGTTGCTTCGACATCACCACTTCCATTCGTCGCTTCTCATTCTCTATGTGCCGTCGTTTCTCCTCCAGCTTGAGCCGTATATTATTCAGCTGCGAGGCCATTACCGTATTACCGCCGTTCTCATCTATCATCACAGGAAACGTCTTCAAAACTTTGACAAAATAATGGCGAATATGACATGGAACAGTGAAATAGAGTAACATAGGCCAATTGACGAGCAATCCTTGGCATCATCTATTGAACTTCAAGCGAGTTTACGCTTGAAAAATTCACTTTGTTGTATTCATACCGTCTAAAGATAGCTTCTCACTATCCATTTAGACAACGGCAGATAAAAGTCTGAAAATCTAAACGGACAGTAAGAAACCACTTGAATATATAGAAGATGTGACAAAGCTCACCAGCAGAATGTTGCTCCATCTGTTGCGACTGCTGGCTGCTCTGCTGCTGCCACGTGGTCGTGTTGGGCAGTGTGGCGAACGTCGTTTTCTTCTCACCGTTTCCGTTGCCGTTGCTCTGGCCGTGCTTCTTCATTGTGAGACTCGGCTTAGCGATTGTGTCCTCTCGCTCCTGCTCCGTGTATGTGAAATTGATCCCTTTCTCTGAACTCTGCCTACTCAGATTCGCAAAACTGGCCATTTTCGCCATCGCCTCGCCGCCGCCTTCCGCGCCGTCGTTCTCGCTGGAATGTAAGATCTGCCTGAGAGCGACGTTATCCAGACTGGAGTTGGACGCCTGCCGTCGCAATCTCGACGGTTCCTCGCCCACCCCATAACCGTTGTCCGACAGTATATGCTGCACGCCGCTGCCGTATACGTCCTGGACGCTGGATCGTGCGGGTAACGTCGGCTCGGTGGTGCTTCGCTTGCCGATGTGCGCCCCTACCTCTTTATCCGGATTTCTACCAAAATTGTGTAAATTATCCTGGATAAAAGAAATCACTCGATCATGATCGCTTGTCTTTCCTCTTTTTCTCTCTGGACACTCTATCCTCTCTCTCTCTCTCTCTCGCTTGTCTCTCTCGCGCGACGACGAGCGAGACGAGCAACAGGGCGCGCGTCGGTCGCTCGTCGTGCATCACGTACCTGAGACCCGCCAAAGTTCTCAATGGTAAGCTGAGAATCATCCGTGATGCTGTTTCGTCTGGACCGACGGCCAGCGTATGAGCTTCGTCGTTGTTCTTCCCAGTTACTCGGCCGACCAGCGGCTTCAGCTCTAGCTGCGGACTTCTCGTCGGCCACGGAGCTCAGGGTGGGTACGCCTTTGCCACGATGCACCACGAAACTCTCCTCGCTACCTGCGCGCCTGTTGACGCAAATTGGAGTAAGTCGAGTGGCAACAGTTCATTAGCATTTCTATATGTAAATTATAGTATGTAGTACCTGTCGTCGTAAGGACGACTCTCGGTAGTTTGTTGTAAAGATTGCGATTTCTTCACAGTGGCGCTCGGGGCTGACTTGGCAACTAGAAGAAATTATTTCACGATGAATAGAGTCCGCTCTTCGCATTCCCGCTCGATTCGAAAAAAGTTCATTCGTCACTCAAACTATATCCAACGAGGAATTGCAAAGGGATGCGCTCAAACAAATAATAAATTCTTACACTTTTACATGTTACATTAAAATAACGAAGCTTACGTTAACGGGCCGCTCGAGAGCACAACGTGAAATTCCCATGGACTATTTCGTACTGTCAGCAAAGTAGATGCATTATAGTAGATGAAAGTTACGAAATAAAGAACAAGCCGTTACATAGATATAACGCACAGGGATTTCAACGTGTGCATGTTCTGGAGGTCGAAACATTACGAACGAAAAAGATCTCGCTTCGACAGAAAAAACATCGTACAGAGTTACACACTGAAGTCAGACTGTACACAAAACTAACGTGTCTATAGGCACTTTTAATTCTCGTCGTAGAGTGTCAGACAAATCTGAAAATCAACATAACACGAAAATGAAACAGTTCGACATGAAGTGATGAACCCATAAACCGAACGTACCACACCAAAATAATATAAATATGAACACACGTTGCAAAACAATCGTACTAACTAAACGTGGGGTGGATCTTGATGAACGACGAGGTTTCCATCTTTCTTTCTCTCTTTCTTTCTTCCGCACTCTCACTCTCACTCTCTCCCTCTCTTTCGTTGCACCGTGAGTTACCATGGACGGCACAATGATCTAAATCGCATGCAAAAGTAACATAACATGAAGCCAATGTCCAATGCAAGCGGCAATCGATGACCGTGTCGCGCAAAAAATGCGCGACTCGCATGCAGGTCCGTTCTCAGGAAGGAGGATATATTTGCTCTATGCTCTCGCGATGATGATCGGATGAAATGCAAACAATATGTGATCAGTAATAAGCAGTGCTCTCCTCACAATTCACGCGCTCCGCTAAGAGATTAGTCCAGTGGGGTCATGTTCATCGAACGCACAACACGCACGCACGTTACCGAGAAAAAAATCAAGTACACTGTCCACTTTTCGTCCCTACATCGGGAGCTTATCGAGAGATACGTTCTAGCTCAAGAAAGTACTGTACAATTTGAAAACTATAAAAATACATATGTGGCTACAACTTCGTCATTTACATACTTGCACGCCTGATCGTTTTAACTGTCCTATTTCTAGAATGTCGATAACTAAAATACCGTCACTGGTATGATACGGCTATGATACTAAGGTCGAAAAATTTAATCGAGCACTATGTGTATACGAAATAGTTAGTCGCGAGGATACAACGTGAATATTAAGGGCGTTTTAATCGCGGCGTTGTACTCTATTTTATTATGTTCAACTAAGCTTCGTCGCACTTAAACGTGGCTGACCTAGTCCGACACCTACACGCACGACGAGGATTACGCGCGGCAAAAAGACAAAGGGAGATCCTTAATCCCTTCGAGATCTCACTCTAAATAAAAAGGCAAAACATTCACGGGAAAAAGAAAAAGACGGCAACGACAGTCCGCGAGAAACGCCAAACTCACGAAAGGGCGTGGACCACCTTAGTAGTAGAGAGTTCATGAGTTTGCTTTTTGTGTGACGTAACGTGTGGGTACCTGTGAAGCCTGGCGCGGATACGGAGAGGTTGCTTCTCAGATCAGGTATCGGAGCTATAGACTGTGGCAGACTTCTCTTATGAGCTACGCCATGACTATTGCGCGGGCAGGCTGCACCCGTCGCCGCGCCGGTATCGGTTCATGGGCAACCGGAAGTTGGCGAAAGAAGAAGGCGAGGATAGCGTTGTTGTCAAGCGTCAAGAAGGTTACGCCATAGAAATATATGGAGAAATATTACAGTTGTAGATTAAGTGCTGCGTGTGGAGGTGGTAGTTCGTTGGCTGGTACATATCACTTTGCGCTTTTTCATAGCGGCGCGCTCGCAACAACGGCCAATTCGTATCATCATCATCATCATCATCATCATCAAACAGAGACAATGTAATTAGTCGCTGCACGGAAGGGGATCCGGATCGAGAGGCTTGGATCGAGTGTGTATATCGACACTGATAAGAAGCGTGACACCATCGCGATCGCAGGCAACGTTCCTCTCGTCGACTGACTGACTGTCTGACTACTGTCTTTCACGATCCGCGACGTTTCATCAAGGCTGTTCGATCGATTCCATTGGCGAGTAAAAAAGATGGACGTTTCGATGTCCGCGTTGCCTGCGACAGCGACGGAGAGAGAATCTCATGGAAGAAAGTATAAGAAAATAAATCATAGAACAGGTATAAGTCCAATACAGTGTATATGGCAGCCTCCACCAATCACATTTAACCATCACCAAATTTTACGACTCCTTTCTCTCTCCCTCTTTCTCTCACTCTTTTGCTCTCATAAAAAAATACAGCTCGAGGTGCCACGTATCGTCGCACAGAATCCGCACACGAATCGATAGACTCTCGTTCTCGGCGGAAAAACGCGTCTACGTACCATCTAAGTATTGCATCGCCCGCTCCTCCCCCGGATAACGCACGCATTTCGCCGGGTGGATCTCCAAAACGTTGTACATATCCGCCAAGAAAACGACCAAGTTCTGTTTCATGGACCTGAAAATCGTTAGGACGGAGGAAGTTAGCGTTGGTTTAGCCGGGATAATACATTCGATCAATATGACAGAACAACTCAATTAGGGATTCGGAGAGGATCTCTCTTGATTTTAATTAGGATAACCTACCCTCTCATGTACGTGACATCCTCGGGTTGCATGTGGAATATCGAATAGGGCAGACATTTGACGCAGAACGCGTGCACCAGCGAGAGATTGTGCAGCGCGTCCGCCACTGAAGGTCTCTTCGACACCCTGATCTCTATCCAGTTGAGCTCGCTGGGACAATAGAAGGCGACAACGGCAGCCAGACCGACGCCATCGCAGAGAGACTGGAAGTCCTTGGCGGCGGGTAATTCGGGCAATCGCGTCTTGTCGCCGGCACCTTCCTCGGTCTGGATCTTCGCGATCAGCGCGTGCGACGCGTGATTGATCCACAGCAGGAGCCCCTTCTCGTGATCTGACGGCACGTCCACCTCGGCTTGGGGATCGAACCGTCGTATCGCCGAGACCACTCGGTCACCCGTCACCACCTCCTTCGCGTACAAGACCATCAGGCCTTCTATCACAGCCATATGCGCGGACTGTAGCGGAAACATACATTTATAAGAAATATAATAATTGTAAATATTATAAGAAATATATGTATAAAACAATGAATATAATAGGTAACATAATAAGGAGTTTACAGAATAAAACGATAACTATTATCTCCACGAAATATGAAAGTAAAAGAAAAATTTATCAAACAGAAATTACATAAGAGAGTCGTCTTGTAGCGGTGACATTTCTCTCTCTCTCTCTCTCTCTCTCTCTCTCTCTCTCTCTCTCTCTCTCTCTCTCTCTCTCTCTCTCTCTCTCTCTCTCTCTCTCTCTCTCTCTCTCTCCCTCCCTCCCTCCCTCCCTCCCTCCCTCCCTCCCTCCCTCCCTCCCCCTCCCCCCTCTTTCCCTATCTCTCTTTCTCCCTGACCTTATTTCATTGAAGAAATTTCAATAGCAGTATATTTCAATGGCAAGGTATTTAAGGGGTAACAATTATTGCCTTACCTTAATAAAGAATGAAATACAGAATGTGTAATAACGTAATAAAAAATGTTCTCAATGGAGTAAGTTTCAATCATACACCGAGAGAGTGCGCGTATTAATGCTTTGAAAAATAATATTTCCAAGAATCTAAAGATTGACGACTACACGCATCTACTATAATGATTACTTCAACACATCAACACGAGAGCTTACCATCTTAAGTGGTGAATTCTGAATGAGGATCGTTTCGGTGAGCTGAGTATTGTTCTGTTCCGCAACGTAGACGCCTTTCCTGGCCAGAGCTTGCAGGATCCCGCAGTGATTCTGATTGTGATAATTTGGATCCGAGTATATGTTGGCCAATGCGAGGCAATACAGCTCTGCGTTGGAAAGTGCATGGACGATCTGCGGCTTCAGGTGTTCCTGCTCCTGCAAATAGCGTTAAGATTCACCGTTAGGACGAGGAACGATCGCGCGATTCGAATCGCGTCGACTCGAATTAACAAAAAGAGAAGGAGAAGAGGAGAAATCATTATTCTCACGCCTGAATAATTTTACGCAATTAACGGAGTGATTTTCCTTTCTAAAGAGCCGAGCGAAGTGAGAGCGCCACAGATGATCGCGTTCGGCGGAAGCGACCTTGCTTTCACAATCATGTCTTGCTCGTTTTTTCGGCACGGCCACTTCGTGTCGATTGGTCGTGTCGAAGAGCGAGTAACTTTTCGTCCCGACCGAGGTGACGATGCGATGACGGCTGCGACAAGGTCGGGAAGCGGCGGCGAGCCACCGCGGAAATGGTCATCTATGAATATTACCGCACGCATTATTATATGCGACACTTCCTGCAAGGCTTCTCTCTCTCTGCAAGGCAGCCGCGATCAGACGAAAGCTGGAAGCGAACGATCGCGAAATACGATTCGCGCAACTTCCGCGTCAAACAACCGTACTTGAGCCGGGTATCTTGTTTTGAATCACACGCTTGAGATTGATCGAAGTGTGTTCTCGTTTCTCTCGTGCGAAGAAAAATCCCAGGCAAAACCGATCTCCCTCGACGGACCACATGACGACGGAGAACACGACAAATCACGGACAACGTTACGAACAAGCAGGCGACCTCGTCTAATCTCACGAACAAGCTAACAGGCACGAACTCAAAAGGCCGCCCGCTTTCGGTTGAAGTGGCACATTGTGCGAGGAGAACCGGCGACGAAGAAACCGGCGCTACAGACCAGAATGAGGGGAGGGACTATCGATTCCGCAGCAATGCCCCGCTCTCGTTCTCGTGGCGGCACGGCGAGCACAATAAGCAAGCTTTAATAACGCCCAGGAAATCAAGACTATTGTGCCACGCGGCGCGGAAGTGTTCGATGCACGGCGAAACTTGGCGCCGGGAACAATCGTTAGCGGAACAATTAAAAAATATGACTCCGGCCTTCTTCGTTCGCTCTGTCTTTCCTTCCTCTCCTTGCCCTGCCGAGGCTCTCCTGCCGGACCAGGAGATCCATTAATTTTCCATGTCAAAACTACTTCGTAATTAGATTCCTTCCTTCCCCCTTCTCCTTCGTATGGGCTTGAACCTCGCGACAGCACCTTTCTCAGCGAAGATCGCGTCGTTTCCCTTCCCCTCCCCCCCGACGCGAGCTGCTCCAAGTGTGCGACGCAAGCCTCCGGGGAACATTCTCCTCGGCGAGTTTTGCGCGAAGGATTGCGATGTGGGCGAAGTATCGACCGGTAGGATCTCTAAAAGTCCGTTTTTTTTCTTTCTTCCGAGGAGTTATCGGGCGAACGACAGGGAGGGAGGGAGGGAGGGAGGGGGGAGAGAGAGAGAGAGAGAGAGATATGCGAGGTAGAGATAATTGAAAGATAGTAAGCGGCGGGATTGCCGGTGCAGCGATGGTCTAATAAATATAATTACGCGTGGGTAGGTGCGCGAAAAAAGGAAAGAAAGAGAGAAACGATAAGAGGCAAATGCACACGTGTCGATGATCGTTAGTCATGTCGTTGCGCGCGCCTATGTATGTGTACGTGTGTGGAAAACGTACCATCTCGGGTATGAGCGTTGTTATTTATACAAACCTCCCATTCGTTCGTGAAAGGTTTTCCAACTTGTTTAATATTAATAACCCGTAAATTGAGGCCGTGTAAAATCCACGTCTGCAACAGTGCTTTTTCCTCGTCTTTATTTCATGAGCGGGTTTGAACTCCCTCATCTCGCGTGCACGTACATCACAGGCTCTCCTTCGAGGGGGAATCGTTACACGATGACGAGGAGGCTTTTTTTGAGACGAGAGGGGGGATTTCGCGCGCGGATCGCGCGAAAATCTTTTTCTAACTTTGACTCCCGCGAGCACACACGCGTGAAGAAGGAACAAAGTTCTTTCCTGCGAGCATTAGGCACCGCCTAGACTTTCGAGACTATTTCGCGAGCTTTCGCAAGAGCATGGATCTTCTCTTCTAAATATACGGAGGGACAGAAGAGTGCGATGCTATCACGTAATGAGGAAGAGGAAAAAAAAAAGAAACGAAAAAGGCGAATCTATTTCTTTTTTTCTCTCTTTCTCTCTGTCGAATATTCTCCTCCTCGCTTCATTTCCCTTACTCGGAATACCCGAGAGCCACCCCGTATCCGTCAAAGGTACGTGTTTTTACATCAAAATACGGCCGGTATTTTGATGCAATCCTCGCATGTCACGCGGCAAAGAAAACTTTCCATGTTGCACCTTTCATGAGTCATCGCAACACTTACTCTGCGAGAATATCCGAAGAGCTTCCCCACTTCGCGTCGACCCATATTTTCCAGAGACATGGATTTTAACGGAATCCTATATCGACGCGTTCGTGAGAGAAAGAGAAAAAGAGCGCACGCGAGCTGATCTCGCGATTCACTGACGACTCGCGACGAAGGATCGTGTAACAGTGGCCGGTCAATAATGCGATTACTTTAATTAGATCCGCAGCGACGACGACGCCGACAACGTCGAAATTATATGACGTAACGCGAGAAATGCGGAAAGCCCACTTTTGCTCGCATCAAATATTTACACGCGTTGCGCAGATTCACGCAGCGTACAATACACATAGCGAGGCGTAAGAGCTCCCGGTTTCCGTAAAGTTTCCCCGTCGTTTCGCAATGGACTCTCAATCGCATTTTCTCATAGATTTCCCGCGATTTTCCCAAAACACACGACTTTCATTCCTTCTCATCGGGGTTCGGGGCGCGCGATATTGTGTTCTCTCGCCAAGTATTATTAGCATCTACTCGCCGCGCGATGGAGACGCATCGGCGTAACTTCGCGCGCCGTGCCGCCTTTCACGAACGTCGTCGAGACCAGTTTTCTCCGGTCGCGGAATAAACGACGTGTACCACAAAAGAGAATACGTCGGGACAGCATCCGCGAGCCGGCGGAAACTGGCGGAGACTTTCCGCGAGGAAAAATTCATTCGTCTCACGACAAAGAGTGGCGAGCTCTCCCGTCGCAATAATTCAACGAGAGTGAAAAGAAGCATGGTAGTAATACGCCTTGGGAAAATCCATCTCTCCGAGAAGGCTCATAAGAAATTCAACAAAATTACACAGCAGCAAATGAAAAGGCATTAAGCAAGATCCTAAAGAATGTAAATGTTTGCACGTGAGAAATGTGAGTAAATTTATGAAAATTAATCTCCGACCGCGGGCACGTTATCGAGACGAGCGTCTCGATAGGCGCGCATGTCGGGCGAACGAAAGCTCGCTGATTAATGAATTAATAAAAGTGGTCTTTGTCGAACTTGGCAGCGGTAGAAACTGAGACGGAATCGTTGAAGCTTACCTCATGATCACGGTAATACGGCTCGCGGAGTTTTTCCGGCACTCGATTGTTGTACGCCTTTGACAAGAGCCATTTCACGGAGGCACGTTGTTTCGCCTGAAACACACAAAAGGAGAAACGTGAAACTTCTCCGCATAGAGCGAATGAGAAAGTATACCTTACACGCCAAAGTATCGAATATATTTGCCCGAGCCTTAATTAATCCTTCACAGAAGAGATTCTTAAAAAAGTGATTTTTCCACTTGATCGTTCCGTGGAACGATCGGAGTTGCGGCAAGAAATTGCAACTGCCATGTAGAGGTACGAAAAACTGAGACTGAAACGAGTTCCTATCGAGTTCGTATTTCCAAGTGCGAACGCATTCGAAGAGTTGCTACATTATTCCGCTCAGGCACGTGAAAAAAGTGCGCCTCACCGTCGTATCGTTTGTGAGATCTAACAGTTTTTATTATCTCGCTATGTTTCCAGATTTCACACTGATTCGTCGATTTCGCCCGGCTCGGGAAAGACGTAATTATTTCGCGTGTTTCATTTCCCTCAATGTACGGTTCGGTGAGAGGGAAAGCCAAAAATGACATTAACATACTCGGCTCCGAAACTTTCACGTAGGAGCGACGTTGAACTCCAAAAAATTCGGACGCGAATTCACATCCTCGCTATTTACCGCGGGACGCGCTTTTAATTACGTGTCAGAAATTCCGAAAACTTGATCAACCTTGACAAACCCGGAACTACTGAATGAACGCAAAAGTTTCGATGGATGTCGTAACAGAAAAACGGACTAATGGCCCCTTTCTATCGGCCTTGGTCTAACTTGACTAGCTGATTACACCAACGAAATTGACCAATCGCATCTATCGTCAATCAGAATTGACAAAAAAACTGGGTCGGTCTCTTCTTTCGAGAATCCCCCATCGGAACGTTTGCTCGCGCTCATTCAATATAAAATATTCTATAGAGATTTTCCATGAAAAAGACTAATTCCCACGACGAAACCCCGGACGCAATCTCGTCGCGTGTCCCTGCTGTCGTCGTGAATCATCGAACGGATGATTTCCGCTTGTCGTCGGAAGACATTTCGCCCGGGAGAGGAGACACGTCGTGTAAACGCGGCGAGCGGCAGGAGTCGAGGTTCAAAGTCACCGGCGCCACGGGTCGTGTGACTCTCTCGACGTCCCGGCCAGCCAGCGACAGTTCATAAATTCCCCGCCGAAAGTTTTCCCGGGCGGGTTGGCACATGAAATTGCACGCCTAATCAATTCGTCGAGCAGCTCCGAACGGGAACGTGAAGAGGCCGTGGAGGAGGAGAAAGAGGAGCCGGCGAGGAGGAAGAAGCTACTGGAGGGCTGGGGAGGATGGGAGTGGCCGTCGCGTATGAGGTCACGCCGCGCGACTGTGTGTTATGAAGATTAAAGTGGCACGAGGAAGTTTCTGACGCTCCTGTAAAACCGCCGCCGCGGTGCGACGATCATCCATCGCGGCCAGATTGATGATAACGTTGACGGCAGCGGCGAGCAGCGCGAATCTTTCAATATTTACCGTCGATTCTCGCATTCTCCTCCCGTCACAGTCTTGTTACTCTTGCTTTTTGCTTTTTTTTTCTCGTTTTTCTTCTCCCGTTCTCTCGCGATTAATACGCGCAAGCGCGTTCTCTGCTAAATGTATTACTCTAATATCCCCGGCGACGAAAATAAACGAACGGTCGGGCAAACGTTAGCCGGAAATTAACGGCGGAAATTCCGGCGCGTAGTTCGTAATATGAGATAATTTCCAATCCCTGTGTGTACCTCGCCATGTATCTCTGATATATTTTAACAAAAATAACAATAAAAATAAAACGACATACAGGAAAACTTAACCTACATCGGGACATCGATTATTGATTATGCTACTTCGGTAACCGTGTTATCCCAATAACACACGTGTTACCTACAGTCCACATGGGAGCGGTCGCTGCTACGCGCGAAGTAGCCCACGCGGCGCGTTTTCCCGCGGAAAATGTTTAACTATCAATTTCGACGGCGCGAGCTGGCTGCAGATACGACTGACGTCAACCGCATCGAAGGAACGAAAGGATGCGCCCGCGCCAGCGAATCCCCCAGCCGTGAAATTGGAATAAGGAAGAGATTGGCGAGGATATGGATCCGCGCGGGAGGTGCGACGACGACGACGACGACGACGACGAGAGGAGCGACAGGAGATATAGCGCGGCTCGCGGAAAATTCGTGCAAATATCATTTCGCCTCGAAACAGCGTTTAGATTTCGTCAAAATGTGCCGATGCAAATGCTAAAATGCGACGCGATACTTTCACGCGGAAATCACGAGAGAAAAGTTGCAGTGCAAGGGAAGGGGAGAAAAGCGCGAAAGATAGCGATTCTAATAGCGACTTCACCAATATGATAGAACAAAAAAAACGGAGTTGATCAACGGAAGCTCCCATTTTTTCCTCTCGTTGCATGATCCCGTCGAGACTCGTTTTTCCGAACGGTCGATCGATCTCGGTCGTTTGGAATAATGGTTCGCGTAATGGTCGCCTGTAGATCAACGTCGCGAATAGATTATACCGTTCTCCGCCCGTGGACGGTCAAACAATGAATCGTAACGAGTAATTACGAGCTATTAACGTGCCTCCAGCTTCCAACCAATATCACGAAGCAGGGCGAGAGAGAGAGAGAGAGAGAGAGAGAGAGAGAGAGAGAGAGAGAGAGAGAGGAGAGAGAGGCCAAGAGATCAGTCCGGGATCGACGGTCGTGCTCGACGATTCACCTGGCAGAATCACCGGCTCGCTCGATAATCCCCAGCGCGCCCATTTGCACCGTATTTTTCAATGCCGACAATGAGAAACGTGTGTGCAGCTCGGCTCGAAGTCGTCGACAATGACTTTAGGCGCATGTCCTAAAGCAGCGAAGAATCCTCTTCACTAACTAACCCTTTAACTCTCTTAATTTCTCAACTCTCAACATTATTCAGTTAACAAGGTACAAGCTGAAGCCTCGTAAAAATTCGTGCCTAATTACACCAAGCTCGTATTTATATTTGTCTCCCAATGGTAGCTTCTTACATCGCGCGATCGTTCTCTAAACGTTCTCGACGTTTAGAAAGAAACCGAAAAGTCAACAGCGTCTGCTGACTTCGAGTGTCTCCTTCCGAGCCGAGAGAGTGCCGGCCGCTTCGAGCCAGCCCGTATACATTTCGCGGTGTGTAAACTAGCACACGTGTCCGGCAGGAACCGATTCACCGAAGCAACGCATGCACACGCATGCACTTGAAGCACGCGTTGCACGTGCATGCGTGCACGACGTTTACGGACGTCTATAAAAAGAAGCCGTGTCATCGCTAACAACTGGTTGTGTTACACGACACGGAATGCCGTTGTTACCAGCGCACAGAAGGCGATTCAGATTCGATCGATCCGGCCTATCCGCGCGCGATAGGTAGGGGAGGACGGTCTCGGCTCGGTGATCCACGACCGTCCGCCGTCGTCGTCGCGTCGCGCCGCGTCATCGATCTTTATTAAGATCGGGCCGAGATCCGTGGCCGGCGCGGAATTGGCGACGTTGTGATTCAGATCCGTGTCCCGCGATGACAACGCGAGCAATAACACCCGTGGAGAAGACGTCGACTTTCATTTATGCAAACGAGCTACACGGCCACGGTAGCAACGAGCGCTCGTGTTCGCGCGCGTACACACAGCTTCTCCGCGTTATTTCAGCCGGGTACAAGTTCCTCAGCGGGTCGGCGGAAGCCGACGTTGAAGAACGCGTCGTTCGCGCACGAACAAGCGCGCTGGGAGGTTGCCCGCCCGCTCGATCTCCGCGCGACGCGTAAATTCGTCGTTAATTCGCCGGGATAAATGAAATCGCGACGTGCTAAACGCTTCGAAAATGGTATTTGATTAATAACGGCGTCGCTCCGCCGTGCTGGATGCGCCCCGCGCGCGCCGCGGAACGAATCTGGAATCTGGAATCTATAAAATAGAAAGCGGGACGACCACGCTCCGGTAAGAGCCGAGCGAGAATCACGGAAACAGAACGCGTGCACACACATGCGCGCGCGATAATGCTGCCGATCGAGGATACAACAATCGTACAGTCAGCGATAATTCACAGTCTGATAGTCAAGCAGCGGTAAATTTAAGCTATCGAAGTATTTCAATATATATATATATATAAATATATAAAATATATACATATACATATACATACACACATATACACACACACACACACACACACACATCTATATGTGCATCCGCTCGTTAGCAACTTAGATTACCTTTAAATCATACAGCACGTTCGCCGCCTGCCTTTCTAAGGATTAACTGCACGTACGTGGCCGCTCGCAAATTAAGCGAGTTTCCGCATGCAGCGGCGGTGTGCATGTGGACGATGATATCGCGCGGGAAGAATTGCACGAGATTTCTACCGAACGATACGTATTACACCGGCGGCATCGTCCGTTCGCATATCCGCTGTTCAATGTTTCAATCGAAGCAGCGCGCGCGACCCGCCGCGCGACGCGAGCGCTGCAAGTTCTTAATATGGATTCCAGGCCATGGGCATTGCCCACGCGACTTTGTGCGTCCCGGGAAAAACGCGACTCTCGCCCCTAGCAGCGGCCTGCACTCGGCCAGCCGCGGAAAATGCAAAGCGGCCGGGAACACAATCGCGTGACAGATAAGCCCGATTGCTAATGCCAGCAAGTTACATACGGCACTTTACGGAGATCTCCGCAGTATGAAAAAAATTGCCACGAAAAATCCGCGCAATGTGGAGAAAAGTTCCGCTCACTCGGCCGAGTGATGTCTTGTCCTCGCGATGTCGCGATGAAAAGCGCATCCTCAATTTTCCCGCGGAAATATTTCGGCTTCCGGTGGGACGCGCCGCCTCTTTAAAAGAGGTCGGACACAGGTGCGTGGGGTGTGTCGACTTGAATATTTTTCTACCAGCTACTCCGCAACGAACAGAAGGTCGAGATAATATACGAGTTTCTGCAAAATTCCGTCGATCTTGTTTTACTGAGTTATTGATAAATGAATTATGTACATAGATAAGTAACAGCTCTCACGACCGACAAGCTTTCGGCTCGCGGTTG